GCGTTGTCGAGGTTCTCGTTCGGCACTCTGTGGCCCTAAATCAACCACCCGACTTGTCTGAGCCGAAACACTTTGTCCCGGGGCCAGGTATTATTCGAGGACTGTCTCATGATGTCTGGAAAATTCTGGTCTCCACGGCCAGTTCACTGCCACCTGATTGTCTCGAAATGGCTTCGACGTACGGTGACTCATTCCTCGTTGAGATATTTATCGACTCGGCGACAGATAGGCGAAAGTTGGGATGGCTTGTCACCGGCCAATTCCATTCGTCTCTAGCCCATGCACAGGCTTGGCTCATTCCAAAGCTAGTTCGCCTCATGTTCGAGATTACCCCTTCCCCAGACGTTTTGGCAAATAGATGTACTCGCCGCAAATCGACGGGTTGTTTTCTACCGAAGCTATGCCTGATAGATCTGCTGGCTCAAAGAGGAGACTTTAGCATTATAAAAAGCCTTTTTCATTCGAACAAGGCGTATATCTCGCAAAATACTCTTCGCTGTGCCGCTGAGGCAGGAAGGGAGGACATAGTCCGCTTCCTTCTTGAGCTGGGTGCAAGCGCGTTTGAGCTTTCTTGTTTCCGGGATACAGCGTATTCTGTGGCCATCAAAAATCAGCACCATTCGCTGATACAGTTATTTGGGGCACTAGAAGTACCTCTCTCCGCGAAGAATCATTCCTTCGAGGCAGAGTTCCGTGCTGCCTTGGATGCGAGGGATGGGAACCAGGTACGACGCCTAGTCCAATATGCGTCTCTCGAAAAGAGGCATTGGCTCGAAAAGTGTGTCGAGCTTGCGATCGAAAAAGATGAACCAGATATTGCCCTTGCCCTATTTGACCAACTTGGCTCCAGGACGAGTGTCTCTCGATATGTTGGGGAGAAATTGCTGCTGGCGGCCTTGGTGAGACGAAAGCCAGGCCATGTCAGTGCCTTGCTGGACACTGATGTCGACGTTGAGTCAGGACGTGCAATGTCGATAGCTGTCAAATGGGGAGATGTTGGTGTTGTTCAGGCGCTCATATCCGCAGGTTTCCTTCTCGATTTCGATGATCCAGACTCCACATATTTCCGTTCGCCACTCTACTTTGCCGTACGGGATGGCAATAAGAATATGGTAGACTTTTTGCTGAAAGCAGGAGCAGGGTTGAACTGTCCATCCTCTAGAACGCCACTGCGAGCTGCTGTTCAGAATCGAGACAGGGATATGGTAATGCATCTGTTGTCTTGGGGAGCGGACCCCAACGACTCAGCCGCACTTCTTGCAGCTATCGTCTGCCGCAAAAGACCCTGTGACCGCAAACCTCGATATATCTCACCAGTTCACGAGCGGGTAGGCGACACTTCTGGATATCACTTTAGGACTCGCTGCGACCTTTGTGATGATCCCGTCTCCGATGACTTCACTTGCTGTGGCTTCGCTTCCGGGCACGGCTCTTACAGAGAAGACTCTGACTCGTACGACTCGGACGAGAATTATCACTACGGCGACAACGACTCCGATAATCGCGATTTTGACCCTGGTTCGATGCGGCGCAACAAAAAATGCATTGATGCGGACATGGAGATGGTCGACTTACTTGTCAAAACTTTCCAAAAGCGTTATCCTTGCGGACAACGTAACTACGGTTCTACGGCTCTATCAAGGGCAATTCGGGAGAAGGAAAATGAACTTGTGGAATATTTTATTCGTCGTCGCATTGGTATCGATCCCTTATGTGCAGATGCCAGCTTGCGTCCGACCCCACTCACTGAAGCTATTCGCCTAGATGGGGGTACAAACTTGAACATGGTCCGAATGCTGCTTGAAGCTGGCATAGACCCCAACTCCATCATTGATGAGTCCGAGCAACCTGATGTTGGCATGTGCTCAAGAGAAACCCCTCTCCTAGTAGCCATTGAAACGAAGCATGTTCCATTGCTCCAGCTACTCATTGACTATGGCGCGTCGGTAAACCTTGCAGCCGGAGGCGGGATAAAGAAGACCCCTTTGCAGAAGGCTGCCGAGCTTGGATGCTTCGAAGTTGTTCAGTTCCTGCTCAGGTGTGGTGCGAGAGTCAACGCCCCGCCTGCCCACCGGGGAGGCGCAACAGCACTCCAGTTTGCGGCTATACGAGGGTTTGGAGGAATCGTGGAACTCTTGCTCCAAAACGGAGCAGATGTCAATGCGCCGGGAGCTAACATACTGGGGAGGACTGCCCTAGAGGGGGCCGCAGAAGACGGCCGCGTTGATACGGTGAGGATCCTCCTTGAGGCAGGAGCATGCCGTGAAATGGATCAAATCGAACAGTACGAAAGTTCGGTGCGATTTGCCACTAAGAATGGCCACGTACATGTCGTGGAGCTACTCAATACGTATGATCCTCGCAGGGAGATGAGAACTGCCAAAGATTGAGATGCCTTATATACCTTACGACGGCCTTAGCCTAATCAGCTAGGCCATGGCGGCCCGTTGTGATAATGACCAATGGCTGGAGCGGGTACTAGGCGCGGGAGGGGATTAGCACTTGAAGGGTCATCCGGGATCACTCAAGTGATCGGTTACTAGTGGGATAGCTATATAAGGAATAGAATCATTGGAGGCTGGGAGTCGGAGTCAGCGAGCGGGGATAGCGGACCTGTATCTAGAAGTCGCAAGACTCCGTTCTAAAGCGAAGCCTTCTACCAAGATCACTTGATCGCTTGTAGAGCTTCGCATATTACATAACTTCCTGCTGGTCCTAGATCCCCTCCCCCTGCCTTTGCCTTTGTCAGTTGACTCCACAGGGTCCGGACCCGGGCTTGCGCCAGCGTCGGTAGAAGTGGGAGATGCAGGTCGATCTGAGCTTTCCAGTCCGTTGCCGCCCGGCGGCTGTGCCGTGACATTTGCCGACGTAGAAGATTCAGCCCTGAGCCCCTCACTAGCTTGGTTAGTTTTCAGAGGGTACAATCTTAACAGCTTACTTACCGCCCCTTCTAGACTTCTTTTTGACATTGACCAGTTGGGGTCGTAAGAAACCTCGAAGTCGAACCAATTCCCGAAGGTCTCATCATAATGCCACCGGTTTCGGCGCCAAGCCTATCATCTGTGCCTAGCAGGCGTAGTTTATTTGCCTGCGGTCGCAGCCCACCTCACCGAAATGTCCCAAAACGGTTTAGCGTCCTCTCACGTCTCGATGCTCGCATGAACCTGCATTCACCGAACTTGCGATTTGGGTAAAAATGTTTCTAGCATTGTGTACCTTCATTTTCCATTACCGCTATTTGCTCTCATGCTGTATGCTAGCAATTCTCATGTCTAGTTGTTGCTGCCTTTACTATAAATTTGGGCTCGTTCCGCCTCGGGAATCATACCCAGAACAACACCTACTCAAAGCCTCAAATCCTGTCGTGCCATGGCTCCCACTATCTACATTGTTCGCCATGCCGAAGGCGAAAACAACATCGACGTATGTGTGCCCATTTCCGGCCCGCACCTCTGAAACCCTTGCTTTCCCTTGCCTGGCCCGTTTTAGATGTCCTAATCCTGCAATTTCTCGGTCTAACACGCAAACTAACAAAACCAGAACTCGCACTGGAAGCGAGATGCCGTCCTGACAGACAGAGGAAAGCTGCAGGCTCTGGAGCTCAGGGGCGCATTCCCAGACCACGACAAGGTCTCCCTTGTGGTTAGCTCACCGCTTCGCCGCGCCATCCAGACAGCCTGCTTGGCTTTCGCTCCAGCCCTCCGCCGCCCCCACGTTGAGTATTTAGTCAGCCCCCTCGGCCAGGAGGCTAATGCCTTCGAATGTGACATCGGTCACGATCGCCACGAGCTCCAAGGGCTGCTAGCCGAGCTACTTCAAGATTCTGATCTCGGTTTTGACGTTGCCAAGATCAACCTCGGGCTGGTCGAGGATGGTTGGAATTCCAAGGTGGGGAAACCTCAATATTTATATCCCCCCCCCCTCTCTCTCTCTCTCTCTCTCTCTCTCTCTCTCTCTCTCTCTCTCTCTCTCTCGTAGAGTGCCTCCCTGAAAATTTTGGCTTGCTGATACTGCGAGGAACAGACTGGCAAGTGGGGGGCCGACCGGGAAAGCGTGCAAAAGAGGGCGGCCGAGCTGCGATCCTGGCTCTATCAGCGGCCCGAGGAGAGCATCGTGTTCGTCTCCCACGGCGCTTTCCTCCACTACATGACTGAGGACTGGACGGGGGATGATCCCGTGCGAGGTATGTCGCGTCTCCCGTAGCAAGCCAGCCATATCAATCAGTCGGGGAGACAATCAGGAGGGGGATGTTAGGATGGGCGCTGACTCCAGGCATCCAGGCACCGGCTATCTGAACTGCGAAACGCGCATCTTTAGCTTCACGCCGACATCGACGATGGATGACGCCCATTTGGAAGAGTGCGACGAGAACAAGGTATCGCGCATCAGGATCCCTGGCATAGTCTGAATGAATGGGCCAAACTCCTCCCCATTATGACGTGCATATCTGCGTAGCAAGAATGGACCTCTTGCGATGGAAAGGACTGCTGTATTGACTAGTGAAGCGCAAGATGTTGAGAAAAACTACGGCAGCTAGTCATTTGCTTAATTAATTTTTGTTTCTCACTCATACGGGGTGTAATTGAAATTGCTTTGTGTGGTGTGGTGCTAACATCGCGATCAATCTCCTGATCACCGCCCTTCAGGGAGGCCCAGATGTTAATGTGATGTCGACCGAGTCCACCCAAGACTTGGCGAGCTTGTCACTGCAACTTGGTGACTGGCCCCTGTAACGGATATATCTGGTAATTAGCCGGAACGGTCGTGCCGCTTATCATTAAAATCCAGTCACAAAATTGACGCTTCTACGGACAACATGACGGCGCACAAGAACGCCCACCAGAGTGCTAGAACAAGGCTTTGAAGAATGAAGAGTGCCAGTAGTATAAGCTACAACTAATCCATACCCAACCACCACTAGGACAAGCCTGAAGGGGCAAGCCTCTAATACCCACCAAAAAAGAAAGACGTGGCATCCGAATCCCGATTACCCCGTCATTCTAGGTCTCCATGTGAGGAACCTTCTTCTTTCCGGCGTCCTTGACCAACGCTTTCCCGGCACCCAGCCACTCTTCCAGCCCATCCACGCTCTCCACCGTCGGCAAGTCCTCCCACATCGGCAGCGTGTCGGCGTACTCACTCCAGACCCCAGCCATACCTTCAGGCCGCAGCCAGCTACTAATGCTCCTCTTGGCCGTAAAGTAGTAAAAGTAGAGGACCAGGGTAAGCCGCTTGACTCTCTCGACGTACAGCAACCGTTGCGGGTCGGGGTCCCCGCGCCCGTCCCCGTGGACCTCCCACCACGATAGTCGCCATCTTAGCGTCAGGAGGACGTCGCCAAGCTGCTTCACGAAGCGGATGGAGCTCTCCGAGGACTCGAAGCGCAGCTTGTTGATAATTTTCTGCAGTCGGCGGTAGGCGTCGATCTCCAGCTTGCGGCAAATGATCCGAGACAGCGTCGCGCCCAGTATGATTTCCTTTACGTCCTCTGGGTCTTCTACATCGAGCGGCCGCGGCTCGCTCCCGTCGACAGGGACGATGTCGTAGCTACCACGACAAGGCTCGTTGTTCCACACTGGAAGAAGGGCCTGAAAGATGAATTGCTTCTAAGCGTCTGCTTGGCCTTGAGAGAAAAGTTACTCCACGCGGGGGCACTTACCAGCGGATCGTCCAGTGCTTCGCATTCCTTCACACTACTTCTCCAGTCGGAGGTTGTGAGTAGTGCGTTGTCGATGAACTGGCGTAAAGTGGTCGTGTTGGTCTCATCATTCTCCCGGATCTGCCCCAGCAGTCTAGCGTGTTCTGCCATGTCAATGACGAAGAGGGTCCGGGACATCTTTCGCCTTCGAATGTTGAAGGAATGCTGCCGCTCCTGCACGGCTTGCAAGAGGCTGGGAAGGTCAAACTCCTCGGGCATGGAAATTGAGATCCGTCTCCGCCCATCCAGAGTCAAATGCGAGGCGACTCGCTGCGCTGCATCCATTTCGTCAGAAGAGGTTCCACGGTCATGACAGAGGTGGTTTGGGGTTTCGGGGGCAGCGTAAACACTGGGGAACATACAGACATAATTGCAGCTTCCCGACTCGATAATGTCGAGAAAGTGAGCCTTCAGGCAGGGTTGGTGGACCACGTGGGGCTTTCGTTCCCATGCCGCAACGCAGCGATGGCAAGGCGTCCCCCCAACGCACTAGACAGGCACACAGACATAAATATTGATCCATCGCGCCAGCCTCCTAACGGAAGCTTGGAAATGGTTGACGTACCTCTGTGCGAGCTACCTTGCACTTGATGCAAATCTCGTGGGTCTTCCGCTTGCTGGCTACAGCAGCCGACTTCTCCTTGCTGAGCTTGGTACGGCGGACACCTCGCTTCGCCGGAACTTGGTAGTCCTTCACGGATGCGACCCCATTTTCCAGTATGATGGTCAATGCCTTTTTACGGGGTCTTTCTTCCTCTGAGGGTCCTCGCGAAGTGGCAAGGGGCAAAGAGAGATTTGGAAAAGGACGGCGGGCCGGCAAGAGTTTGGGCAGCACGTTGTCGTCATGTTTGTCGGACGCTCGATTTTCCTCCTGTTTGCCCGCTTCACCTAGCGATTCTACAGCCAAAGTTGTGTCCGATATTTCATCTGGTTCGAAGATGTACTTTAGTACGCTGGGATGTGTTTGGTCGGCTTCATCGTCCCAGAAAAGCCAAGAGTCGTCTGGTTCGTCTGGGGGTATTCCCCCGGACGCAGCGCTATCTACCCAGGTGTCATCGAGATCAGTATCTAAAGGATCTGAAGTCTTGCCATCAAGTCCATATAAGCTTCGATATACGGGGGCGTCCCATATGGGCTGGGCTAGCAGGTCCGGTAAGATAGCGGGGGAGACATCGTCGCTAACATGGCTGAGTACAGGATCCACCCAGAGAGGATACTGATGGTGGCTAGCTGGCGGAGCTGGTACGAGTTCCAGGTTCGGGAGCCTGTAATCCGAACTAGGCATAGCTGGCATAGAGTCGGTCGTTGCTATCGGATCTCCCGTCGCTGATAGCAGCTCTAGAGTAGATGCAAGTGATAGCTCAGTTGGCCAGATCCCCGAGTCAGAAGGCAACACCTGAGAGAACTCTGGGAAGAGGCTACTGCTCAGAGTCCATATTCGTTAGCGGACTGACAGAGCTAGTGGGGTTGGGGAATGAGTAGCGACCAGTCCGGATGGAGAGGAGAAGAGAAGAGAAGAACATACGTCGTGCTTGGCCCTATTAGCAAATTGTCCGTGAAAACACCTTGCTGCCAAGTACCGTCGAAGGGCAAGCAGGCGCCATCGTCCCTACCGGCTTGCTTAGGCCCTGGAGTATTCATGGGCACGGAAACATGACAGCTGCGGGGATCGTCAACAATGAAGGAGAGTAGGTCGGGTATCAACGGCAGTGGCAACTGATTGTCTTGCGCGCTGCTAGATTCACTAGGCATATGAGCTTGGTGCTGTTAAACGGAGAAAGAATGGCAGAGAGAAGCTCCGCGTGAGAGGTCTTACCGGAAAATTTGAGAGTTTGCGCCGGTCGAATGATGGCTGGAAGCAAAGCCATGGCAGGCGAGATCCGAGAGAGCAGTGAGTGACGGCGGCGGCGGCGACGAAGAGCAAGAATAGCGGCGCGCGAGCTCAGGATCTTGACAATGTTCCTCTTCGCACGAGAGCCCCGGATCGGCGGTAGATACGACCCTCGTTTCCTGCGAATCTCGGCTGGTAGGCATCTGAGAGAGAGAAGGATCTAGGCCACGGGTGCTCACCCTCGATAAATAAGTGGGCCGGTCAGCTGCGAAGGGACCTAGCCGTTTACGGAATAGATGCGCAACATCAAAAGTGGGGTAGCCACCGCTTTATGAGTACTCCCAGCTATTACCCAGCTATTGCCCCGAAGGGAGGGCAGGCCCAGCCAGCTGGCAAGGAAAAACCGCCTCATCTTGATTATCCCTGGGCTGCCAGGCGGGTCTCACTCCTTCTCTCCAGCAAATCAACTTACGAACCGGTGTCCATATACGGTTTAGCGTCTCCATGCTACTTACAAATACGGCAGTACATTTCTCCGAGCCCATCTCCACCTTTGACAACACAATTTCTCGACCGGAGACCCTTGGCAGGTGGAATTTGCCAGTTGAATTTGCCAGTTGAATTTGCCAGTTGAATTTGCCAGTCCAGTCCCTCCCTTCTCTGACCGGCTCCCGAGGCGGGGAGCCGGTGTGGACAGTTGCTACCAAATGGACGGCCCGGGTCGGAGAAAATCTCCAAGGTACCCGATGAGATGCACGAGGGGGCCACCTCCAAGTTGCATTTTGCTGACCGAAGAACCCAAAACAATGTATAAGCCGTGTGTGTCTGGTTGACCGAGATCCAACAGATGCCGGGCAGCCTTTAACTCTTAACTAGGGTTCCCGTGAGATCAGCGCAGAGAGATCGCGGCTTGGCCCTCAAAGTCGTGACGTAAGCTACCTTAGTTATGCCGAATGTAAGGCGGGCACCCCAAAATTACCTCGTGGGGGCATGAGAGCAGCAACCCCACAGGGCCTGCGCCCAAGGCGGACGAATGTGTACGAATGCGGGAGTTCCACGCCGAAAACCCTTCTCATTCTGACCGTGTTGACCAACCATATACATGGTCTGCCTTTGCTGGGCGCAGTGCACTTAACCCACAGCGGCATAATTGCTAAAAATGAAATGCTCACAGACAATACACTTGTTAAGGTAATTATGGCACATCGGTGCGCCTGACTGCCCATCACTCCATCATAATCGTAGCCTTGACACACTTCTTGTCGCGAATCACCTGTAGCGCTTCCCCAAATTTCTCAAGAGGAAAGGTGTGCGTGACAATACCGGTGACATCTACCTTACCGCTTTCAAGGTACCTCACGGCTCTTGGCAGGCAATACATTTCCGAGAAGGATCTGAAGTTACGGCGGCCAAGCCTGTTAGTCCCCTGTGGTGCCATGATGACGCGCGCGCCTCGCCGTTATGCGTCTTCTCCTTGTTTGCAGGGAGGGGGGTTCGACTCACGAGATGATAGTAAGCTCTTTGAGGAAGATGGCGGACGGTGTCAGTACCACCTCCTCGTCCGGTGGGTACACTCCGTAGAGGACCGCTGTGCCTCCTTTCGCGCAGAAGCCGATGGCTCGGCGTAGGATCCTGACATCGCCGGTGGCCTCCACCACGACGTCGAAACCGCCGGGGTGGAGCCAGGCCAGTTGGTGCCAGCTGTGGTCTGGGTCCGTCCTGCTGATGTCAATGTACTCGTCCGCGACGTTCAGGGCTCTCGCGAGGTCCATCTTCGGACCTTCATGAGCGGCTAGGACGACGTGGACCGCCCCGCTGAGCTTGAGTAGCTGCGAGAGGCAAAGTCCGGTGGGGCCGGCGCCGAGCTGGAGGACGGTGGAGCCGACTCCCATCACCGGCCGGATGCGATCCATTCCGTGAATGGCGCAAGCTGTCGCCTCGGCAAGGGACGCGTCTTTCCACGACAGCTTGGTGAGGTGGAAGAGCTTGGAGGCTGGGAACGTGCAATACTCGGCGAAGCCGCCGTCGACTGTTGATGAAAAAGAACGAGACCGCGCGTGTTAGCTCAAAGTTCTCATCGTAGCAAATCTTTGGGCAGGGTACAGGATAGCCATTATTACGCACGCTGCGTCCCGCGACCCTGCAGGTCCCGGCAGTAGAGGATCTGTCCAGACTGGCAAGCACGGCAGGCTCCGCACTCTTGGGTGCTGTCAGCCGTGACTCTGTCGCCGATTTGGAAGCCGCTGACGGCGTGGCCAATATTGACCACCTCGCCCGACGTCTCGTGTCCGGTGACCACAGGCATGTGTGCGGGGAACTCGCCATCTTTCTCTCGGAGTTAGTTCTAGTTGTTTCCGAGACGTGACTGTGGCTGCGAATGAGCCAGAAAGGGGGAAAGGTTCGCAGGATTGGGGATACCGACCGTGGATATGGAGATCGGTGCCGCATATACCGCAGGATCTCACTTGTTGCCGAGCCAGTCGTGTTAGCCGCACAGAAAAGAGTACGTAGGTTGGGCGAGAATGGTGGATCTTAACGCAGGGAGGGTAGCTGGGCTCTCTGTCGAGCGAACTAATACTGCGGAACGGGATCTATGATACTGGCAACGACTGAGGCGGCGGCAGCTAGTATCTAGATAGTGCCCAGTAATAACCACGAACCCTCCATGATGGGATGACAAACCTTTGATGAGCACCTCGTGAGGCTCGGGAATTGGAACCGGCATGTCAACCAGCTCAAAGTCCGCCGGCCTGTTGTACCGAATAGCCTTCATGACAGAGGGGATATGAGGCTCCATTGTTTTATTAGGTAGGCCAAAAGGAAAACCGCCGAGGGTAAAAAAGATAATCGGCTGTATAGAGAAGATACAAATGTATAGCTTTCTTGAAGTTAAGACTCTGCTGTCTAATGTTGAGATCCAGTCACTGCTAGCCGTCGAAGCACTAGGTGGGTGGTTTTGAGGCTTGATATTAGCCAACGATGGACGTGAAGGGCCGCTCCTTCAGCGCCCTTTGGCACCACCAACAGTTGACCGAAATTCCAAATAAGGCAAGAGGGGAATCCTAGAATTTATATCCACGTGTTCAACCCTCATGTCCCGGCACGCCCACCAGCCTCCTCACAATATCTCACCGATTATCCAAATTTAGGAAAGACCAGAAAAGTGCAAAGCCTCGCTGTACACCGAGAAAACTAGTCTGGTTAGGAAATGGAGAAGGAAACTGAAGAGTAAAGAAACAAATGACTGCAATAAGGGAATGTGGATATAGGAGATGAAGTTAAATAGAGAACGACCCGACTGACGAGAGTTCTAATAGACGACGACGACGACGACGACGACAAGAGACCCCACGCAAAGCTCATACTCTGAACCCTCATTTGGACCTCATTTCATAATCCAAATATACCACGCTAGCATCTAAAGTGCCAGTATGAGCGTCACGCGGGTTGATGACTCAACCTACGCCTCCCATATCTCGGTTGAGATCCACCATCTATACCACTTCATCCCAGGCGTCTTTCGCCCCGACAACGGACAGCTGCCCGGGCTGTACGCGCAATGGAAGAGATGCCTAGCTATCGTTGACTACTCGGTCTACGATCTGTACGCGGTCGCCATCGGCGAGCACTTCGAAGCTCACGGAGTCACGGTCACGCTTAAGCGCGCGTACGTCAGTGAGGACCGAAAGAGTATGGAGACCGCCTTGGAGTTCTGCCAGTGGATGACAGACTTTGAACTGGTCCGCCGAGAGCCGGTTCTCGTCATTGGAGGTGGTCTTCTCACGGACGTGGCTGGGTAAGCTTGTTTCTCTTAACAGTAAAATCCTACAGAGAATGCACGACCAAGAGCTCGCTAGACCACCTCACCCCCCAAAAACAAAAAAGAAATCTTGATAGAAAGAGTTCGTTAACCAAACCATCTTCTCTTACTTGCCCCTAGGTTCGCCTGCTCCATTTATCGCCGGTCAACTCCCTATATCAGGGTCCCAACCACTCTAATCGGCCTCATCGACGCCTCTGTCTCGAACCGCGTAGCCGTCAACTGGAACGGGCTCAAGAACCGCATTGGCGCGTTCTACGAGCCGCTCCATACCATCTTCGACCCTACGTTCCTTGGAACCCTCCCGGAGCGCGAGATCCGGAACGGCCTGGCCGAGATCCTGAAGATTACTTCCTGCACCCATCTCGAGACTTTTGAGTTGCTCGAGAGGTATGGGAAGCAGCTCATCGCGTCCCAGTTTGGGCAGTTGAGTTCGGAGGACTGCAGTGCCGACAGCGCGAGTGAGGTGAAGCAGCATATTAACAGCAAGGAGATGAAGGAGATTGCGGACAAAGTGATCCGCCAAGCCATCCGGTGTGTTCTTGATGCCGAGGTCGGCAACAGTCGTGAGAAGGATCTCAACCGCGTCATGTATTTTGGCCACACCTGGTCGCCCAACCTTGAGCTGGCCGTTAAGCCACCCATGCTGCACGGCCACGCCGTCTCCGTCGACATGTGCTATTCCGCCGCCCTCGCCCTCCATCTCGGGCATCTAAGCGAAGCCGCGCATGACCGCCTCCTGCGTCTCCTCGCCGACCTTGGCCTCGCTCTCAACCACCCCGAGTTCACATTGGGCCTGCTGAGGGAGGGAACGGCGAATACCGTGGCCACGCGGGGTGGCAAGCTGAGAGCCCCGATCCCGACTGCGACCTTGGGGACGTACGTGATCCTGCAGGAGGTCGATGACAAGACTCTGGAGGAAGCCTGGCACATCCACCAGCGGGTGGTTGCTGGCTACCCACGTCAGGGATTGGGAGTGGAGACGACGGTTGATTTGAGGCGCTCGAGTGGCCTTGACGGGTGCGAGGGAGGGATAACGGATTTTCTGCCCAGTTCTCGATTGTAATGCGGTGCTGCCTCGCATTGCCTCGGGCGCTGTGTTAGGCCACCTATTTCATATATTTGACCGCACTTATTTTCCATCTTCAAGAATAGGATCGAATTTCTAATGTCTTGCGTTATTATTACTTATCTTTTACCTTCATCGTGAGATCCGACGGGAAGCAACCCGCTAAATACACCAACACCAAAACCCATCGTCGTATTCGTTCTCACCTAGATTTTAGTTTAGCTGTGTTGCCTAGGATGTTCTTCCCCTTTAGGCAGCCGGGGACTTTTTAGGCCAATAGCAACTGAATCATGCAGCCCTCGACTCTTGTTTTCTTGCAGTGGTCTCGGAGGGAGAGTTCACATCTTATGCGCATGGCTTTGAGAGCCCCGATGGCTTCAAGAGCCAGATTGGCAGGTGATTTCCTTATGCTATCCTTCTAATACTAATTTGTCCTGGAGGGCCCGCCTCATACTCGTCATAGGCCTGTATCGGTGTTAATCCGCGGTTATCTCTTACGCGCGGATCCGCACCATGCCTTAGAAGAACCTGCAAGACTAGCCGATTGCCACGTATGGCAGCAAAGTGCAGAGAAGTCCTCCCATTCTTGTTACAAGTCGTGATGTCGGCACCATTCTTCAATAAACATTCCACTACATTATGGCCTCCTCGTTGAGCAGCCAACTGAAGAGGCGTTTCGCCTCGAGGTGTCCTGGCTTCTAATTCCGCTCCATTATCTAGAAGAATCTGCATCGCCTCAGCGCTCCACCCCCAGGCTGCGTAGTGAATAGGCATTTTGCCCCAAGCATCCAACAACGAGACGTCGATGTCTGTTTGCAGAAACTTCTTCACCATGAACGGGCTCCCCCTGGCGCACGCATAGTGGAACGGGGTCTTGCCATCACAGTCACGGCGTGTGGGGTCAGCCTCGTGCTGGATGAGCAGTTCCACTACCACATCATGTCCCTTCTGAACAGCACGATGCAGTGGGGTGCTCTTCAGCGGATCTGCATAGTTCGGATCTGCGCCGTGCTTTATAAGTGAGCGGGCGGCTTGAGTTCGTCCGTTAACGACAGCCAAGGAGAGGGGACTTAGCTTATCCGAATTGGTCATATTTGTGTTTGCTCCGTAATTAAGCAGTATCTCAATGATCGAGATGTAGTCGGCTTCTATCGCGGAGAACAATGCAGCCCCTTTGTGCTTCTGGGATAAGTCGGAGGCGGCATCATCGTTCTCCAATAGTAGCTGGACAATACTCAGGTGACCTGAAGCCGCCGCCAGTGCAATGGCCGCTCGTCCTCTCGGATCCTCAATTTCAGCTGACGCGCCATGTCTCAAAAGCATCGACACCACGTCCGCGAATCCTCTCGATGATGCAAGGTGCAGGGCAGTGGTTCCCTCAGGGCTGATAGCATTGACGATGGTGCTTCGCTTTGTATGTCGCAAGATCGTCTCAACAATTCTCCTTCTCCCACACATTGAAGCAACTTGCAGAGCTGTCCACCTCGAGCCCTTGTCTTCCGCAACACTAGTGGCTTCTAGTTGTTTGACCAGCCCCTCCACGATTGAGGTAAATCCCATAGCTGAGGCGTGACACAAAGGGGACAGACTTTTCTGTTGTGGTCCGCCTGTTTCAATCCCTGGAAGAGGTGACTTTGACGCAAGCATACTCTGCCAATTCTCATAGATGGCATGTGAGTGGTACAAGATATTGGCCAGTGGCATAATTCCATCATCTTCCATAAGGTGCTGCGCGTGATGGGGCCAATACATGCAGGCATATGCAATGAATGGTAACTCGCAAATGCTCAACGGCCCCTCTCCTTCCTGGAGAACATAGGCAAGGCAACTTTGAGTACACAGAAGGTGGGCATTCATTTCAGAAACCCCAAAGTCGGCCGATTTGCTGGCGCGTAGTGGAATCGAGAGAAGATACTCCTTCACGGAAAAGTGAGCCAGCCTGATCTTGTCCCCGGGCACAAGACTGACTAGGCTGCCTAAGATCTCGAGGATATTGTTCCGAGGGTCCTGGAAGCGGTCGTTCTTATCGAATGCCGGGTCAGCATCTGGATCGATGCAGGCAGCCTCAGCAACCTCCTCAGCGCTCAAGGGCCGCTCCGAAAAAGCCAGCCACAGAAGGGCTCGTCTGGCTTCAGCCTTGTATATCTCGTCAATAGCTAGCAGCATACGTTCATAAGTTTCATCCAAAGTTCTTGGGAGTTGCTTCAGGGCCAGCAGGATCGAGGACCTTTTTTTGCATTTCTTCAATGCATCGAGTTGGCAAAATACCCATCTGAACCTATGATAGTTGTTAAGCCTAATTTTTTCAGCGTCGATATTGAATCGAAGTCTTACATGCCACATGCCCCTTCGGCGAGGACACGCTCTGCTTCGGATTTGATATCCTCCGACCAGCTATTTAACTTCGGGTCGGACGTGAGCTGACTTTTGACGTATTCTTTGATGTCAGCCATAACCCCGGAATCTTGTATTGATAAGGCTGGAACGGTTAGAAGTGGCGTGATAGATTTCTTAATATCGATTTCTTCCCGACTGGTAACCAGGAGGTGTAAATTCGAATGGAAGATGCTCCGGATGGCCTTTATTGCATCTAGTAGTTCGGCACGTTGATCCTCAGGACCTGTCGTGGGGCATTCATCCAAGGCGTCAAGGACGATGTATGTGTCGTTGATGCTCCTGAGCGCCGTATATGCATCAATGATTGAAATTAGATCGTGTACTGATGGAGGGCTTCGGCCCCTCCCACATCTCTCGTAGAGATCTTCAAGCTGAGTTGGGATCTCTTCAGTTCCGCTACATAGCTGAGAAACCAGGGACGAAAGACACTTATGAGGAGACTGCTTGTTCGTGTTGTTGAACTCAAAGTAGAAATAGGCCAAGGCACGCCTGAGATCCTTATTTTCGCAGTCTCCTTTAAGGTTCTCGATGACAGTAGATCTATCCGCAGTAAGTTCGGCCTGTCACATTTGCTGAAGAATTCAGACGATGCTCACGCTAGTATTGTCTTTCCGCACCCGGCTATAAGCGGTCAGAATTGGAGTAAACTGCGTACTTGAGGCCGATAACTCACGGATACCCTTAAGCCACATGAACGACCCACGACTCCTTTTCCATTCTCTGAATTTGACACCGTTGATTAACCACTGCCCTGTACCAGATTGCCGCTTTCTGTTGGCAGCCTGGTGGCTAGTAGTAGGGTCAGTATATGTCAGCCACGTTGTCACATTTCGGATCATCTGTTTCCTCTTCTCTTCGTCTGCATCCTCTTGCATTGCATTGACGACCTTAAGAGTCGCTATCACGCCTTCCTTGGTGGCCTGAACATCAAGTTGGGTGGCGCTAAGGTTCTCGGCCACTCCATCCAAGGACTTGCTCAGCATCATATTCAAAGTCCTAGCAGTTGCATGGTTGTAAGTAGAGGAAACGGGAATTATTGATCAGATGATATGACGCGAAGGACTTCTAACTCACGCAGCGTCAGCAGTAAGTGCCAAGGTAAATAGCGACTTGTGCTTCTCGATTTCCGCGATGACCTTGTCGACGTCCTTGCTTTTGAGTGGCCATGTCAAGGCGCGCCATCCTAATCGTTTCATACCTTCCGTATCATGACCACGCTGCAACTTCTCAAGTAAACCTGCTAAAGTGTCTTGGCATTGTGAGAGAGCGCCACCGGGCTTGACCAGGGCCTGCAGGACGGATAGCTTGGCAGAGTCATCGGCATCCGCAAGATCTGCAATGCTGGTTAAGACACCCTCAAGGCGAGTAACCTCGTTCCGCAAGCGCGTGATGTCTTTTCGGGCATCCTTGACCCCTGTATAGTATGTTCGGCAGAAATCAAAGACAGATCCACAGATTTGTATCACAGCGATCACGCTGGCAGCGGCACTGACCCCGTCCATTCGATTCTGGCGAGTTGGTCCAAGCCGGACTGGCTCTAGGTATAGTCAGCTAACTTGGCTCGGCTAATGAGTCCGGCCCTTCGTCTGTGAGCAGACTGGACTTCAGAGTATGAAGCTCGTGACAAGGCGCTGATGCCAGACAAGGCGGGGAAGGATTGCCGGGAATTCGGCGCGATGATGATTCTGGCCGGGCGGACTTAGAGACGGGTTCTGGGCATGAAACACAAGACCAGCACCCTCCAAAAAATTGAGTGATAAAAAAATGGACGGAATTTTTGTCGGAAGTGATACGACCTTTGCTGATCGAATTGAGGCAATTCGGGGATTGTGCTGAAAGCGGCCCGATGCGGGGTAGATTCGAACGAAAAGACGAAAGGTATGGATAGCAGCCTTAGGCCACCTTCAAGGAAATGGGTGGCCAATGGTCTGGACCCAACTCTTCCAAGAAGCCGCCGCAAACTTCTTGGTAGAACTGGTAGACGTTGAATCCGATGGTCAACAGGATACGGAAATAGGGGCATAGAAAGAAGGCTCTCACACTGGGATATGAGTGGGAGCTAGAAAGAGAATGGCCGACTTATACGGCACAAGATACACAAGAAAATGGAATGGATTCCAGTCACCTGGAATCAGAACTGGAAAAAGGGACGGAAACTGAAACACAAGAGACTTCAAAGATGAACACTAATGACACTTCTGAAGACGAAAGACTTGATATTAAACTGTATACTTGACTTGTAACTTGACTTCTTTGAGAAATTGACCGAAGTCAAGCCCTCTACCTTACAGGAGCTAGGCACAAGAGGCGACCCAACGTGATAATACAAGTCGCCCACCTAAAACCACTGGTATAAGGGAATTATGGAAGAATTCATTTCTTCCACCCAATCTCGAGTACTTCCCTGGCTGACTTGGGCTTGATATCGGGGAATATGTCGTTAAGAGATCGCTTTGGTCGGAAGTCTAGAACGCCCTGGTCAAACAAGAGACCAAACTGCGCGAGCATTCCCTGCAGTGCCTCCTTCGGGTAGTACTCATAGACGTGGACGTGGCTTGGCAACTCCGTGATCCTGCCGGATTTCAATAGCTCCACCGAGTCGTAAACCACCTCGAACTTCTCGCCTGAAGATGACGACATTAGCATTATTTATGACGTGGGATAGCGCATGTGCATGATTCAAAATTACCTGTTACTTCCTCGGCAAGTTTTACAAAGTCGTTCCAGGTAAGTCTGTCTCCGATAATGACTCTGTCTCCCATTTATCGAGAGTGAGCAACTTGGCCGTAAACTTAGCCACGTCGCCGCTATACGTGAAAGTAATCGGCGTCGTCCCTGACCCTGGGATTGCAGCCTTTTTACCGGCGACATCAAGAACGAGTGTCATGGGACTGAGGTAGGACTTGATCTTAGGCATGCCCTAATAGTCAAGGAAGAAGCCGTTGCAGACCGCTGTCCATTCGAGGTTCGTTTTCTCTAGGGCTTCGAAGATGGAAAGCTTCGCCGCGGCTATGGGGAACCAGGACGTCTCCGGAGGGTACTTGACGCCGTAGACGCTGGGGATATACCGTTTGGTCGCGCTGGATCGCTCAGCCGCTTGAATGAGGCTGCGCTCACAATCTGGAGGGGTTCGTCCCCCGAGCGCGGAAATAACCGTGTGGACATCGTTGTCTTGCAGGAGAGATGTTAATGAGCCGACATCTGAGTAGTCAACAGGCAGTATACGAGCGCCGAGGCTCTTCTGCAGCTCTAAGTCAACCTAACGAGGGGTGGGACGCAAGGTACGTCAGCGACGGACTGCCATGATTCTAGCCACGGTATATCGAACCTTTCGGCTGAGTACGATAACTTCAAATTCTCCATCAGCTACGATCGCCTCGACAATCGCTCGACCAATGCTGCCGGTGCCGCCGGCTACTGCTACGACGACCATGGTTATCGGGGACCGCGGAAAGAGCAAAGAAATGATAAGACTTGTAGGCTGGTGTGCAGTGGAAACTACGGTGCATCCTGTTAAAGGCCATCTTCTTATTTATAAACGTTGATATCATTCGATGCTTGCCTTGGTAACTACTGAGGTAACACACGGGTTTCCGGGTCTTTACAACTACCCGAGATGATTCAGTACCAAGCTCTGTCATCACAGCAGATAATTAGTAATGCGTGCGGAATTCCGCCAAAGAAGAGACGACAACACAGCTACCCCTAGCACCGAGCACATTGCTAAATCCTTGGCGAAGAAACCGTCCACTAGCTTCGCGGGTAGGTCCGTCCTGAATTATCTCATGGAAAACTGGTTCGTCCAAAATATCGTCTGCTCATTCCATGATCTGATACTTCTCCTTCTATGGCGGCCGGGCGGCTCGGACATCCCTTATACTCCGTAGTCTTGACGTCCCCAAATGCACCACGTGAAATGAAAATTGCAAGTAAAAACAACATGCTGTTGGCGAAGAGGGGCGGTGTAGGGTGCAACCTCTCGTATAGTGGGTGTTTTGGTCTGCGTATTGATAAACCGTTAGGGATATATATACACCGCTGCAATATGGATATCTACAACTCGCCTGGACCCCAGAAACGACGTCCCATTGAGGGCGACGGAAACGTATCTGCGTTCCGTTTCCACAAAGGGCAAGTCATATGAAGATCAAGTATGTGGAGGCCGAGAGATATAGACTTAGAACTCCAAGCAAACGGGCGCCTGTTCGGTCTCTATCGTAATCCGTTTACTCACCACCCATGCGTGCGTGCCGCTGTCGACTCAACAGCCAACACCAACGTTGTTCAATGGGCAGGGCACCTCTTGGCCCTGAAAGAAGTCGCCCTGCCATATACGATAGACCCCGACACACTGGCCACACTTCAGTATAACCTACTAACCTCAGTACTAACCGCAGTACTAACCTCAGTACTAACCACGAGAATCCGCAGAGAGAAGGGCAGATGAGAGAGGATGGAGGCTGGACATGGAGGATGTAAGGGCTGCAGTAGGTTAAGATTCATTATGCAATGTATGCGTAGCCAGCTAAGAGTTGCCCCCTCGGGTCAGGCCCGCTGGGCGTAGTAGAATTTGTGTGTGTGTGTGTGTGTGTGTGTCTCTACCGAATGTGTATTAGAGGCAATATGCACTGCGTTCAAAACCCTATGAGCCTAAAACCTCCCTTTAAAGTTCCACCGCAGAGGAAACCGATTCCGCTCCTTTAGCTGTGATGAATCTTCCGTTTTCAAGAAAGTAAAGCTGTGTTAATGCCACGGAGATTGCCACCGCCTCTCTGCTTGAGCTTTTGTCCCGCGCTGAGCGCCTCGTACGGAAAGGTCTGCTCTCCGATAATATGCGTAGCTTCCTTTGAGGGGTTTCGGAGTGTCTCTTCCACGAATGCGTTCAACTTCACTCTCTTAATTTTTCTCGGAGGTTTCAGGGAGTGGAAGCTTGGGAAGATTAAGCCTCCGTTTCGATGACGGATTCACCTTGGTCGATAGTCTCGCGTCCTAAATGGGTTTGATTTGAGCAGAAGTCGTATGCCTATCACAGCTACTTACTTTCAATGCTGCTCATGACCTCTGCAAAATCCAGCCCGCAAGCGTCTATATAGCAATACAAATACCCTGTACTAAAGAAAGCATCCCATCGCCTCCGAAACGAGAACAAGACCGAGAGCACCACGCAACCGAGCGCCCACAGAACCGGGGCCACCAGGACTAACATTGCTGGCACACCCTGCTCCAGCACTACCAGAATTCTCCAAGGAACCGCGGCCGTGAGATTGGAATAGTGCCAGCCTTGTTGCGGATTCTCGTGCAGACCGTACATGAGCTTGACGACCATATGTTGATAGGCACGTTCCAACGCGCGCTGCAGGTCCTGAGACTCGATGTATTTCGTGTATGGAAGAGCATCAAGCCGACCGGGAAATTTTCTTCAACGTTTACGAGCCAAGTCAACTCTTGAGCTCAACTCTTATACTCCCAGCGAACATCTGACTTCATGCTTCCTGTGGTTTGAGGGGCTAGGAGCCTTCAAATTTAGAGAGCGTTATTCCAGAGGGAGTTGTGTTATGGCGAGATATTAGAGTGGTTTGTCACTCGGAAATGATGCGCCAGTCCAGCGTCACATCCTACCATGGTGAAAGCCTCAACAGGTCCTAACTTCTCGCAATTTATTCAATTTTGGGAAGGGGGGGATTTACTGATCTCTATTATCATCGGAACGAGGAGATATTGTGCGCGCTTCTTCGGGATGTTGAAAATCATTCCAGAAACCAATCAGAGCAGGAGACGCTAACCAGGTCAAGCAATTGTTACACAAGAAAATTAACATTTTTACTTCGTAAATACGAACCCCCTCCTCTGCTTTGGCTCAACGCATCTAGGCAGTCAACAATCTGTTAACCTAAAGAGGTTGTCTGGCGGCCTTGACCAACCCATCCCGCCCTCGGAGTTGGGACATGTACAACAGGTGCCCCGGAAAGCACACCGCTTCAGTTCCCGTAAGATGCGCATAGCCGAGACCTGGGAAAAGCTATCAAACTGAAAGGGAAAACAAGAAGTGTCGGGATCCGTCTGGGTAGAGTTTTGGCAGGGGGTATGAAGATGAACACACATCAATTTATGGGTGTTTGCAGCTAAAGCAATTTGCAAACAGAGATGCGATGCTGAGAAGTGGCAATGAATTCATTTCCCTTTTCCCAATCTTCATCTCAGCAATCAACAAATGCAGTCATTTCTAAAAACCATGGCCATTTTTATGATTTCTCTTTCTCCAAGCCCACACCCATGATGCTCTGCTCATTGTAGCTTCCCATTGCGGCCCCAGAACTCAGGGAAGAACCCCCATTTTCTCCTTCCCTCTCCATTTTACAGACAACAGCAGCTCTTTCCTGCTCCTAGACCAGCACTTTCCACCTTTCTCCCCAGCTCTTTCCACTTTTTTTTCCATCAAAAGCATTGCTGTCCTGAGGCATCATCATAACCATCATCATTATCACTTAATTACACACAGCGATGCCATCTTCACCTATCCATCAAGGCCCTCTTCTCATCGCATCTTGAGCACATCTCAAGACTCTCCCTGCAGTCAGATATTAGCCAGTAGAATGCCATTTCATTCAAGTCACTTGGTTCCCTCAAGCTTAAAAACTCCTCTCCTTGATTCTCCCTCCCAGACGTGTTTTGATTCTTCCCATCCTACCACCAGCAAGGCCATTCCTCTCAGCTTATGACACCCCCCGGCCGACCTCGCCAGTTCTCCATTCATCGAATAAATCTCTCTTCTTCCCTGAATAGAGGAATTAAATAACCTCCGGATCCATCTCCCAAGGATTATCGGGCCCTTCTGGCACCTCAGGCTCTTGGTGGACCTTGGCTACGACTACAGGACACACGAGAGGGCCGTCCCTGCCCTGTTGTTATCCCGGGTAGGTTGAGGCCAACCCCGTATCTCCTTCCCCTTCACATTGAAATCCAAACCGGCCCTTCTTCCTCGGGACCATCCTCGCTAATCCCACTCTCCCTCTCCTCTCTTCCTCATCTCTTCCTCATCGTCTAGTCAGTAGGTCCCGCCTCGTCTCCTCTTTTCTAGACCAGTCAACTCACGAGTCTCTCTCTTCCTCCTCACCCTCGCCTGCGCCGAGTCGATCTGAGCAGCCACCGATTCCACTCCTCTACTCGATCCACCACATCACCTTACCGGGATCCAGCTTCCTCTTTTTCCCAGACCTTTTGACGTCGCTAACCCCTCTCTCACCAAGCACATCTCTCAGCGAAATGGAACCGGTAAGTAGACAGACCCTTCGCAGTCCAATCCCAGGACGGCTCATCATGAAAGGAAAGGAATATTGTCTAACCTTTCACTTCCTTCCAATAGTTCTCAGTTCCTTGGGATCAGGTCCCCGAGTGCCCGACTTCGGCTGAGCTCCTATCTTCTGAGCCCCGGAAGCTACCCATCAACGATGTCAACCACACGCCGGGTGACAAGGCCAGATACCTCGAGACCCAATACCGTCTCATCCGATATGAGGGTGTCGAGCTGCTGCGCCGAGCGATCCATGAATATCGCGAAGATCCCAAAATGCAGGAATCCTCCGAGACTGCCATCTATACCGATGTAAGCTCGCAATTTCCCCTCGTCTCCGTCATTATGACTGCTGAACAATCTCTACCTTAGGTCACGGTCCACGGATACCAGGTGACTCGCCTCGGCACATTGTGCCGCATCGGTTTCTTCCCAGACAGGACGGACAAACGGATTCGATGGAGCCACTCCCCCCGCTTAACGCCTGGAACCGTCGTGGCCCTGTCCACGCCTCGAGACAATTTCAACACCATCTGCAGAATCGCTACAGTAATCCAAAGATTCGTCACCGGCGGTCTAGAGCCAGACACAAAGGCAGGCGAGCCCGTGACCACGCCTCCTCGCATTGACATCGCTTGGGCCGATCCTGTTGATGCGGTTCTAGACCCCGCAAAGCATATGGTCATGATCGAAGCCAAGGCCGGCTACTATGAATCAGTGCGACATACCATGCGCGGTCTTCAACTTTGGTCTAATAAGGAGTAAGCAAAAACGGCCTTCAGCCGTCATAGCCGTCTCATTTCCCCAGACGATGCGCTAACCTTTTGCGTTTCAGTTCACGCTTCGATCGATATCTCATCATGGGAGCCAAGGATGCTAGCCCTCCAGAATACATTGAGCGGCTCAAGAACCTCATTGACTTCAGCCCAGTCCTCTCACAACCCCTCCAGCCCCAGAACAAAAAGAAGAAGAACCCCAACTCCAACAAAAGCCAAGTGAAGACTTTAAATGGGAAGGGAATTTCGACGTCGATCAATATGAGCCGCCCATTCCCCCCAGAGATGTCCGCCCTCACGGGAATGGACGAGTCTCAGCTTGGAGCCATCCGAAATATCTTGACCTCCGAGTTCCCCATCGTTCAGGGTCCTCCCGGCACCGGCAAGACGTTTGTCTCTGTGTCAGCCATCAGGATTCTTCTTCGGAATCTCGACTGGAAGACACCCATCGTGATTGCCGCGCAGACCAACCACGCCCTAGACCAACTTCTCGTTCTCGTGCACCAGGCGACCAAGGCTCCCTTTATTCGCCTTGGAGGTCGTTCCAAGAACGAGCAGGTCAGCCAGCGCACCCTTTTCAACCTCCGCCGAGAATCTAGAAAGAACTTTTTCGGTGGCAAGTACAACCGCATCGAGGCTCGCCGAAAGGAGCATTCCCGGCATGTTGAACATCTTTTCCGCCAATGTTTCCCCGACGGCTTCTTGGATCCCCATGACCTGCTCGACAATGACCTTCTCACTCAGGAGCAGTACGACTCGATCGTCCATGTCGGTTGGCATACCGGCGATGACACGCATCCGAGAGACCCATTTAGAACGTGGCTTGGGGATGCATTCTTGGTGGTGCAGCAGCCCCGGTTTGTCCCCCGGTCCAATGTGTACGAATCGGTTCAGGACGGAGAACTTCTTGGCGAGAATAGGCCCGGCACGATAGACGACGACGAGAGAGATCGGCTGTCTGGAGTGTATCACCCGATTTCGGAAAAGTTTAAGGGATACGTCCGAAGGGACCTTTTGAAGCCGGCATTGTGGGAGAGGGTTCAGACGATCCTCAAGCGGTACAACGACCTTTACCGAGTGCCCCACGACTATCGCGGTGCTGTATACCGGTACCTTCGTACCCAATACATCAAGACCAGGGCGGAAGATTTTCGAAACTTACTGCACTCATCCGTTGAGCTTGCCAACGAGGCAAGAGGGGTAAAGGCCCAATGCGATGCGAAACTGGTCCAATCCCACGGGATCCCCATCATTGGATGCACGACCACGGGCCTAACCAAGTACCGCGAGCTGCTCGAGACGCTGAAGCCTCGCGTGATGCTCATCGAGGAAGCCGCCGAAACTCGAGAAGCAAACATTACCTCGGCCCTTTTCGATTCCCTCGAGCAGCTCATCTTGGTCGGGGACCATATGCAGCTCGCACCGCACACGGACGTACCAGGACTAGCCGACGAACCTTTCAACCTCGGCGTGTCGCTCTTCGAACGCATGGTCAGGCTCGACATAGGACATTCCGTGCTGACCGTCCAGAGGCGAATGGTTCCCGAGATTCGGCAAATCCTGGGACCTGTCTACCCCACGTTGACGGATCATCCCTCTGTGGCCGATGAGAAGGTGCGACCGCCCGTCCCCGGGATGGGCAACTTCAGTACCTACTTCCTTTGCCACAGTTGGCCCGAGGACGTGACTCAGCACCTGAGCCGGGTCAACCGCGACGAGGCACAAATGATTGCCGGCTTCGTTCGCTACCTGGTGCAAAATGGAACCTCGCCCGAAAAAATCACCGTCCTTACTTTTTACAAGGGACAGGTGGGATGCATCCGCGAGCGCCTCTCCAAGGATATGATCCTAGGCAACCTCCACGCCACGAAGCGATACAAGATTTGCACCGTAGACGGCTACCAGGGCGAGGAAAACGACGTGGTCATCCTCTCGCTCGTTCGTAGCTCTGCCGCGGACGCTCCGTCCCGCGTTGGCTTCCTTGCTAACCAAAACCGTGCCGTCGTTGCTATCAGTCGGGCGCGGCGTGGCTTCTACATCTTTGGCAACTACTGGAACCTCATCAGGGCGTCCCCGCTGGCAAAGAAGATCTGGAAGCCCGTGACGGACGTCATCGTCAACCAGCAGAGGTGCCATCGGTCGTTGCGGTTGACGTGCCAACAGCATGGAGCCGTCACGCACATCAGGGGCCAGGGAGACTGGGACAGCATTCACGGCGGCTGTCGTGCGAAGTGCACTTACGTGTACAAGGAGTGTGGGCATCAATGTACATTGCTATGCCATCCGTAAGTTTCATTTCTATTTCTTCTCTTTTTTTTTTTTTTTTTTTTGTCCCTCTACGTTCTTAATCTTCTTGGCGTCTTGGGAGAGATCTCCTTGCTGACTCGAGCATATATTATGCCTTATAGTGCTCCCCATAGCCAACTCGACTGCAAGAAGCCTTGCGCGCGTCGTACCCCTTGTGGCCACAAGTGCTCGGAACTCTGCGGAAAACCCTGCCGCTGTGCCCTCGGCTGCAAAGGAGCGATTGCATCCTCGCACCGTCAAAAGAAGCAAGCGGACACGTTTGCGAGCCTCGAGGGTTGGATGGAGATGAACGCACCGCAGCTGCAGCCGTCGAAACCGCGTGAGGCGCCCAGGTTCATCGACGAAGAATGGGACGTCGGATCTGGCTGGGAGTCTGACGGAGAAAGCGATGCGCTGGAATCTCGAAGGGGAAATAAAAATATTCCCACGATGGCGCGTTCGGTCTCAGCTGGGCAGCCGGGGCCACAGACGAGGCTAGGCTTCGGCGGGGACTATGATGACGACTTCCTGGGCGACATTTACAGCAGCGACGAACGCGATCGGCGGGCTAAGCCCAGCATCAATCGCAAACCTGAGTCTGCTGCTCCGGTGAGGCCCGAAATAGTGTCGCCGCGGCCAAAGGCTCTAGAAGCCACGGTGACTATCAAGCATGTCTTTAAAGAGGTTGTGGTCGACAAGAACTTGAAGAGGCTGCCTGTTCGGGTCGTTCACAGCTACAGCTCGAGCGGCGCGGGAGGCGAGGCGACGCCCCTTCCGGTGTCGACTCCTCCTCCTCTTGCTGACGGAAACTCTTCTGCTAGCGACGTTCTGCTGCCCAGTCCGGCCGGCGATGAAGGAATTCGGGGAGAAGTCGTGATCCTGGACTTGAACACTGGTCACGATACAATTGGACTCGAGGACTTTTTGCGGCAGATGGGTCAGGGGGAAGAAGAAGATGGAAAAGGAAAGGAAGAAATCGGGGTAGCAAAGATTTGTAATGGTGTGGCGTGGGCTGAGGAGGACGATGACGACGATGAGGATGGCGAAGAGTACGAAGAGGAGGAGGACGACATTGATTCTGAGACTGTCAATTTGATAGAGCTCTAGGTCATCACTCACACACCGCGCAATACTGACTTACCTTTTTCTCTTTTCTTTTGTCGGCACTGTACTACGATATGGGCTAAGGACTGTCCTGTTGATGGATCATCTTGGGTCGCCATGTCTGACATTTCATTGCTTCGCCAGGCCACGGGCCCGCGACCAAGTTCCACAGGTCCTTGAGAAAACCGTTCTCTGTTTATCCATCCGTTTACCAACTCAAGTTTCACGAATGAAAGATGGTCAGCCTAAGATAATACTGCAGATAGGGCCTACATATACGATTGGGCCGGGCCAAGGAGAATAAAACAGTCTCAGAAACTCTTTTGCCACTTTAATCATGATTAATGTTCTTTTTTTGGGTTGCTGAGGGGTGTGGTGGTACTAATTCTTTAGCGTCCATGTAAGCTGACTGCATCGGAACGTAATACTCTGTGGTTGTGGGAGAGTGTGCGTAAGAAAAGGCTAATTAATGTGCGGTGTGCGCTGTGATACCATGTGGTCCAAGGCAAGATCTCCGATGTAGATTGGGAAAGAGGGTGTGCCAAGGTTTCCAGAGAGGTATCAAGATGTCTTGTTGGTCGTTCCATCCGGTGCCGTGTCTCAGGGAAAAGAGGACCGGCGTCGGCAGGCCAGTGGGGACGCAAGGGAGGGATTTGATCGGGGGGTTCGATTCGGCGTCGATGGCTCGGAGTAGGCCAGAGAGGAATGCCAAGGTTTGAGCTAGCGCGGGGGGATGTGATAGTGGAGCGAGCATGAATGAGATGCTCCGGCGACTGCTCAAACACTCCAAGATTGTTTGGGGTCCAAAATCCGGAAGGGGGAAAAAAGAGCAGGCATCGACCGAAAAGTACAAATTCGAACCACGAACCTCTTGGAGGCGGTGTTTACATAAGCTGCGTCCCGCAAGAAATCGACAAGTATCTCACCTTGAAAGATGGCAATTCCCAGAAGAAATTGCTCAGGCAAGAAAGCCATCGCCAGATCACAGATGCCAAACGCCAGCCACAGAAAAAGGGGGAGAGGGAAACGAGAAAAATAGTTACAAAAATAAAAAGAAATATTCCAACACGATTACTCGACCGGGTTTCATGCCATCCTCCATCCTCTCTCACCGTTCCATTTCGGTTGGGGTGAGCCAACTGAGTTTGGTACTGGTGCTTCTGTCCAGGTTGAAGGCTTCGAGATGACTATTTCTGATAAGGCTACAACGTGCAGTTAATTTTTTTTTTTCTATCGTAATTTACGATTTGGATTTATGGGATAGTAGACACAACCATGTTCGAAGACGACACAATGTGCCTAACTCACGAGGAAGAACTCCTGGCAGAAACTGGGATAACGCTTCGCGAAATGGTACTTGGCCCGAGACGGCAATCCGATCCTAGGAGATAGGAATCCCGTCCCTGTGCATAAGCGCCCGGAAATGGTTCGGGTCTCGGGATCAAATCGATCACTGTTCCTGCTGGGGGGAACAGTACTTTGATGGGCTCATTCTATCGTTTTGAGATGACCTGGGCTGGTAACCGAGAGTGATTGCATTCACTCGACGTCTGTGTGAATGCCCTCACAGATGGACCCCACAGACCCTCTTCACTTGACATGACCAACAAGCCAATAAGACAAGGTCCGCTGTCGATCTCGATGGAACGGCGGAGGAACAGTCTGGGCGTTTAGGAGATGGAGATGGGATGATTGATGTGATGTTGGCTGTGGGTTTCATCTTTTTCTTTTTCTTTTTTGCTGTTTCTCATTCTTCCCGTGCCCGTGCATCAGTTCAGGGTCCTTTTGGATTTTTGTGCTTCGTACCTGTGTAGGCGCTGTCGTGGTGTGATTTCTTGATGGACGGTGACGGTGTGTTGGAACTTGAGCGGTTGGTCCGCGAGGAGCAAACCGGGAATATTTCGTCGATGCGCGATGAGGCAGGAGCCCCTTGGACGATTTGACCAGTGATGTACTCTCGCGGGCAATTTTGCGCAGATTGATACTTTTAGGGATGGCTTCATCGCCAGCATGACAGGAGGGACTTCGTTCGTTTTAATTGGATCACTCAATTCCAAACCAAGCCAAACCAGGAACCAGTGGAATGACCCTGTTAATCTCCATCAGTCTTCCCGTCTTCGTCCACGGAGAAAACTCCGCACAAGTCGATTCCGCAAAGAGAGAACAAGACCAAACGAGAACCCTCAGCACGAACGACAAGCAACAGTCGAGTTACTTCGTACCCTGTGCCTCAATGCCGGCCTCCCGGTCTCCCGCCCTCCCCGCGTCCCTATTGGCCGCCCCCGGCGCTTAACCACCTGCACCAAGCCCAAGCAACCAACCACTCACAGCCCCCCAACGCCATCCTCGCAGCAATTTTTGGCTTTTCGCACCCTGGTCTACTCCCCTCTCCCCCGTCCGTCACCCGCATCAACGCTGTTGGTCAACTGCAGGTGCAAGGGTGGGCAGGGCGTCTGGCTGAGCAGGCTCCGTGGTTCTTATTGGCTCGTTTGCGGAGGAACTTGCAGCTTGCAGATCAGAGAAGGAATGGTGTGGGAGAGAGGGGGGCGGGAAAGAGGAGGGACAGCATCTTTGCTGGGGGTGTGATCTCTCTTCTCTCACCACTCTTTCGTTCGAATTTCTTTGGGCTTTTGTGAAAATCGTCGAAGGCGGATGAGGCTGCAGATACGCAAGGGGGATGGACAACCACGCACGATGTTTTCCGGAGATGGGCCCACGAGGGAAGATCAAGGGCTTGAAAAGGAAAGTTGGAGAGCCGCCCGTTGGAGAGATCCCTTGTGCTCCCTGCTGGTTGGTCGGTTGGTTGGGCAAGGAGATTGTCTCTCTCTCTCTCTCTTTTTTTTTTTTTTTTTTTTTTTTTTTCCTCGTTCTGCTTTTCTCATCACATCACAATGCACCACGGACGACGGAACCCATCTTCCTGTCCCCTCCTCTCTCTCTCCCATGTCCCCAAGTCCCCGCCCAATTGCCAATCGTCAGCTCTCTTTCGTGACATGGGGGCGGAGCGGTGGGGATATGGTGAGGGGGGTGCAGATTTGGGGGCCAACGGCAGGGCGAGTCACATTTGTTCTATGGATAGCACACGCATGGGCGGTCGGTCGATAAATTATTACACAGACCTTACATGTATACGAAGTGAGTGAGAGAGAAAGAGAGAACTTGGGAAACCTGTAGGCGCTACTGCTGCTCGTGCGTCTGTTCCCTCGTCCCCTTGTCCTTCTCGACCTCGTACCTTGCCATACATGATACTAGAGTCCTCTACCCGTCACCATGCTTGTACTTGTATCCGTTCTTGCCGGGGTTGTTCGTTTCTTTTCTTATTCTTTTGGCGCTCTCGCTGGATTATAATAAGATTGGCTGGGAATGCCTGTGTCTCCCTTCCCTTTCCCTTTTTCTCTTGGCTTCTTTTTGTAAACGGCCCCCAAATTTTTTTGTCCGACACCTCTTCCCCTGGCCTGCTTTCTTTTTCTTGCCTTGCTTTTTGATACTTTGCTTCTAAGAGAGATTTACGAAATAAAAAGAAAAAGAAAAGAAAAGGATTTCGTTCGAACGGATTGACTTTCTTTGTTCGAAGGGCTCTTCTCGTCTTCGGCGGGGTTGAACAATTGGGAGCCATACGAAACCCGGGTTTTTTTGGACGAAAAGCCAAGAACGCTTGCATTCGAGGCTGGGAATTATTGGCGAAGACTACTATAGCGACAACGACAGTGAGGGAACTTGCGCGCAGACATTGGACGAATAAACCGAAGTGATTGAAATAAAAAAGGGGGTCAGGAATTGGCAGGAACAAAAGGACGAGAACACCCACATCACACACAATGCTCGGCTCGACTCTCATAACGGCCTTCTTGGCCGCGACGACATCGGCGCACATCCTCATCTCGTACCCAGGATCGCGAGGCAACAACCTCATCACGAACGAGACCTTCCCCTACGGCATGCAATGGGAATATCCATGTAAGCCTACCGTCTCTCACTCTTTCTTTCTCTCTCTCTCTCTCTATATATATATATATGTCTCTCAAACAGTCGCGCTAACACGAATCTCCCCAGGCGGCGGCATCCACACCACCAAGAACCGCACCTACTGGCCCACAACGGGCGGCGCAGTCGCCTTCCAACCGGGCTGGTTCCAGGGTCATATGACCGCCTTCATCTACATCAACCTCGGCTTCGGCACCGACGGACCCTTCGAAGGGCCCAAGAACATGTCGAGCTCGATGGTGCCGCCGTTCCAGCTCCTCGGTCCGTCGAACAACCCGTACCCGGGAACCATCTGTCTGCCGCAGGTGCCTCTGCCTGCGGGCGCTCACGTGAAGGCGGGAGATCTAGCGACGATTCAGGTTGTCGAATTGGCACAGCACGGAGCTGCTCTCTATTCCGTAAGACGCCCGAGAGAAAAAGAAAGGGTTAAAAGGAAGAAGAAGAAGAAGAAAAGAAGAAGAAGCTAACGACCGTGTCCGTTTAGTGCGTCGACATCATCTTTGCCGATCCGGGCGACGCGCGCATCGCAGAGGTCAACGAATCGAACTGCTTCAACAGTCAGGAACTCGGCTTCGCCGACATCTACACCATTACCACGAGCGAGCCCACGAGGGACGATGCGCTGGCGCAGACTTCGGGGGCGGGCGAGGAGACGGTGAGCTTTTGGTATTGGGGGCGGAATAAGAGGCAGTCTGCGTGGAGGTGGGTGGGGCTTGCGCCGTTGGTGCTGGGCGGGATTGTGGTGTTTTTGTAGGGGATCGAGCTGTTGGGTTTGAGGGTGTGGGATGGGGATGATTTGATGAGATTGTACGAGGGAATAATACCATTTTGCGGGGACTGTTGGGGAAGGGGTCGAGATTGGGTTGGGTCCGGCCTTTTTTTCCCCTCTTTCTGGGCTTAAGCATAGACACTGGCGTTTGGCATGGCTGTCTTTCTCTTTGGGTTTTGGTGTCTTGGGGGGATGGTTCTTTGGTTTTGTTTGCCAGAGGGTCTTCTTTTTTTGGAAGTTGAACCGAATCGAATGATACAATGAGTTCAGAGACACATTCGGAGCTGTCTAGCGGCGACTACTAGAATGCGGGAGTGACCTTGGTGATGATTCTCGTTTTCACCTCTGGAGAGTGCTCCTTCCTGCCGTAGCGTCGTGATTGATGTCTGCCGCATGCTGCCTGCCCTTTTGACATGGAAACATTTGAAGCCGGTGGGAAGTACCTCTGGGTACCTCTTTGGTCTGGGGAAGCTGCAATTGTGTGGTTGCTCAGAAATATCAATCCATCTGATGATGCCCAGCTCGAACAAGCAACCGCACTCCGCTGGCGATTACCCCGCCTCCCCAGTTTTATCCGCGAGCTTCAGCAGTTCCACGCAATTCTCACCGCCTACGGTTGAAACTTGAAGCACAAAGTAGTGCAGGCTGGCCTAAACTAGAAGCTACAAGGTCCTTCCAATTTAGTGGCCATGATCCATTGATGGTGGCGGCGACTTCGACTCCAGTGTTCTACCGCCTTCCATATTGTCTCTGTTCAGTGCGTTTGATACACGATTACCAAGCAACTTGAAGCCGACTCAGGTACCTCAGCACTGTACCCCATTAGCTCAGTACACAGGTACCCTACTACAATTGAGCTCCATCAAACAAGGCAAGCAAGTGACGTCCTTGGCCCGCTCCTCCCCTAAACCAAAGCCAAGCTCAGCTCATCAAGGCTCGCCTTCTCATCCCACTTCATCTGCTTCTCTCCCACCAACACTTCCCGGAGCTCCTCGCATATCTCAAGCTTCGAATTCTTCTTGCCGACATCTCCGGCCTGTTTATTTTCACCTCGTACAATCCCATCATCTCCTTTCTGTACATACCCCCACCACCGCAACTGGCCGGTCACTACCCCGCCCAATGACCTCCCCCGCTTTCCAGCTCTCTGCCCAGCTCGTCGGCCACGAGTCCGACGTGAGAGCCGTTGCCTTCCCCAACCCAGACGCCGTACTCTCCGCCTCCCGCGACTGCTCCGTCCGCCTGTGGCAGCGCACCTCCGACAGCTCCTCTTCCACGTCCTCTACATTCGAAGCGCACATCACGAACCAAGGCTCCGACTACGTAAACTCCATAACCTACCTCCCCCCCACCCATGCCTACCCCGAAGGCCTCGTCGTCTCCGGCGGCCGCGACACAATCATCGACGTGAGGAAGCCCACCTCCCTACCAGGAGACAATGCCGAGCGCCTGCTCATCGGCCACGCCCACAACGTCTGCACCCTTGACGTTTCGCCCAAAGGCAACTATATCGTCTCGGGAGGTTGGGATTCCCAGGCTCGCGTGTGGAGTGTCTCCAAGTGGGAGACCCAGTTCATGTTGACCGGCCACGAGCTGAGCGTATGGGCCGTGACCTTCCTCGACGAGAACACCGTCGTGACAGGCTGCGCCGACAAAAACATCCGCATCTACGACCTGCGAAAAGCCGTCTCCGGCGATGTCCAACCCCGCTCAACCATCTACACCGACGACATCATCCGGTCGCTATGCGCCGCACCCAAGAACCACGTCACCGGCGCCGACATCGTGAGCGCCAGCAACGATGGCGTACTGCGCTTCTGGAAGCTCAACGGCCAGATGGTCGCCGAGTTGCGCGGTCACGAGAGCTTCGTCTACGGCCTCGCAGCGTTGCCCACGGGTGAGATTGTGAGCTGTGCCGAGGACAGGACCGTGCGCGTGTGGAAGGACCTTGAGTGCGTTCAGACCATTACACACCCCGCCATTTCCGTGTGGTGCGTCGCCGCCTGTGCTGATTCGGGTGATATCGTTTCCGGCGCGAGCGATGGCGTGGCGAGGGTGTTTACGAGGAGTCCCAAGAGGGTCGCGAGCCCCGATGCCATTGCCGCGTTCGAGGAGTCTGTCAAGGCTTCGGCCATTCCGCAGCAGCAGGTCGGCGGTATCAATAAAGAGAAGTTGCCTGGGCCGGAATTTTTGACGACAAAGTCGGGGACGAAGGAGGGTCAGGTGCAGATGATCAAGGAGGATAATGGTTCTGTGAGCGCGTATACGTGGTCAACGGGTATGTGAATTAACATTTTTTTTGGGGGGGGTCTCGTGGCTCCTTTTGCTAATCACTTTTGTTCTACTTGCTTAGCCGCCCGACAATGGGTCAACGTCGGCACCGTCGTCGACTCCGCCGGAAGCTCTGGTCGCAAGGTCGAGTACCAGGGCAAAGAGTACGACTTCGTTTTCGACGTCGACATCGAGGACGGCAAGCCTCCCTTGAAGCTGCCCTACAACCTCAACGAGAACCCCTACGAACGCGCGCGCAAGTTCCTCGAGGGCAACGAGCTGCCCCTCTCGTATCTCGACAACGTCGTGCAGTTCATCGAGCAGAATACAAAAGGCGCCACGCTGGGCGAGACGGGCGGCGGGGGTGCGCCGGATCCGTACGGGTCGGATGCGAGGTATAAGCCTGGGGATGAGGCGAAGCGGGTGCCAAAGGTTTTGCCTCATGGGGAGTATCTGAGCATTTTGGCAGCCAAGCACGAGGGTGAGTTCAAGTCCGAGTTCATTTTTATCATTTGTTCCTCTACAACTCTGTATATACTAACTTTCTGCAGCCATCATCAACAAGATTCTCAGCGTCAACGCCACCATGATTTCCTCCGGCCGCAAGGACGCGGCGCTGAACCCTAAGGACCAGACGAACCTTAAGGAGCTTCGCTACACCCTTCAGGCGAACAAGCCCGTCGATGAGACCGGCCTCGAACTCATCCTACGCATCGCTACGAAGTGGGCCTACACCGACCGTCTGCCAGGTCTCGATCTCCTCCGCTGCGTCACGAATACAACCCTCGCTGCATCCTTCCGCGACAGCCGAGGACGCTCCATCCTCCAGCTAGCCATCGACGCGGCCCTGGGCACCAACACAGAGGCGGAAGGAGAAAGCGAGCCGACGACGCCCAATGAAAACTGCATCATGATGGCCCTCCGCGCCATCGTTAACATCTTCGCGACGCCCAAGGGCAGGGAAGTAGCAGCGTCGGAAACGAACCGCGTCATCGCGTTGCTCGAGCGCGTCGTAGGTCTCCGAGGCGAAGGCGCAGGGCGGCGCAACAAGAACGTTCTCGTGGCGGCGACCACGGTGGTGGTCAACTACAGCGTACTCGCGCGCAAGACGACGGGCGGGTTCGCGACGGCAGACACCAAGAGGGCTTTCGCGCGCGTGGCGGAGAAGATCCTGTCGGAGCAGCAGGGATCGGCGGCGGCGGACGGCGAGGTGGTGTACCGCGGGCTCGTGGGGCTGGGCACGTGGGTGTACGGGAACAGCGCCGTGGCGGAGGGCGTGGATAGGGGGGTTGTGAGGGGGGTGGTGGAGAAGGTTGGCGAGGACAGGGTGAGGAGCGTGGGGAAGGAGGTGCTCAATTTGTTAGGTTGAGTAGGATGATGAAGATTACATTGAATGGGAGAGAGTGGTAGTTTTTACAATTGTTCTTCTTTTTTATTCTTTACGAGGCACGTTTCTTAGAGCATAGAGTTGTAACGAAGTATACAATGTGAAGAAAAGTATTTCTCTAGTATTTGGGAGTTTTCTTGCAAGGGGGTTTGATTTCTTGAGAGTGACTCTCACTGATGATGGTTTTTAGTGGAATTCTCTGACCGGATTCCGTCCGCACGAATTGAAACTGAGAGTGAAAATAAATTTTGAGCCGCAACGCCCTAAAGCTAAAACCAACAGCACCTAACCACACTTTCCCTCCGTCACCACGATACAGCTTCTAGAAGGTGAGGGGGAATAGAAATAAGGAACGTCCTGCAAAATCCAGCCATGGCAACAACAACAGACCCAACCACAGAATGGAAAACCATCCGATCAAAACGGAAACCCCGCCGCTCAAACCGCACTTCTCCCTCTCAGCGGCAGCCCACCAGCGAACCATCCTCCTCCTCACTAGACTCCCTCCCCATGAGCGAGCGCCTCTCCTCCCTCCAAAAAGACTGTGCGCGTTATGAAACCATCTGGAACGAGAGTGCCACGCGGAGAGATGTCCTTTCCCTCGCGGCCAGGATCGCCTCGGACCTCACTTCTTCTTCTTCTTCCTCTTCTTCCTCGGCGAAAGGGAAGAGAGTGAGGGTGGGGCTTTGTCTCGGGTTGGGGAGTTTAGAGGGAGAGAGGGGAGGGTGGGAAGGGAGACGGAGGGCGTGGATGCAGCTTTTTGCGTTTGAGGGGTTAGTTCGCGGTTTAGATTCTGGAGCGAAGAAGGGGAGGCTGAGGACCGTTTTGCAGGATCCCGTTTTTACGGAGGGGGATAGGATGTTTCTCTCTGGGAGGGGCCATGAGGTTTTGGAGGATCCGGGGGGTTTTGAGGTTTTGAGGCGGGTAGAAGGGGGGATGGATAAGAAGGAGGAGGAGGGGGAGGGGGAGGCCAAGGCCGAAAAGGAAGAGGAAGAGGAAGAGGAAGAAGAGGATGGGACGCTGTTGTTTGGGGTGCATTTGTATTTGCCTGTCTACAAGAGGGCTCTCGAGAGCGGATTGCCGGCTGTCTTTGTTGGGACGGGGTGGGATACTTGGGACGAGTAAGTCCTTTCCTCTCTTCTCTCCTCTGCTTTCATTCCTCTTCTTAGATTTTGCCTTCTCTCTGCTACTTGGAAACTCAGGGGGGGACAAAAAGGCTAACAAAGTACCAGCATCAACCGGGGTGATGAACTCCCCGCCCTCAAGGAAATACACGAGACGTACCGGAGGGAAGAGTTTCCCGAGGAAGAGTCCCTGTCGACTTTTTCTTCGACGTGCGTTTATTGGAAGGGGCCGGACTCTAGACAGGATGCGGGGGAGGATGAGGCTAGGGGAGGGAAGAGCCAAGTTGAATGTCCGGAAACAGATGGCGAAAGAGAAAAGAGAAGCGAGAAAACTCCCATCGGAGAGCACGTTAAAGCCACCATATAAATTTCACGTCCAGCCTTGATACTTATATATATGAAAAGAATTGATACTCCTCATTCCCCATACCCATACAAGAACCCCATTGATATTTCCCTCTTCCCTTTCCCTCCCCTACTCCGGCACATGAATCTCATACCCAATCAACACCTCCGTCGACGTCCCCTCCCACCCCCTCGTCCCCGCACTACTCAACATAAACCTACAAGTCGGATCAATCCACAACGCCGAGATAACACCCGCCCTCGGCGGCCCCGGCACGATCAAAAAAGGCACGGTCGATTGCTTCCCCGTCGCCCCCGCCGCCACGTGCTCCAAATCGTACAACCTCAGGATATCGTGCGACGCGCAGACCAAGTGGCGTCCGTTGGGCATGGCGCGCACGGCGCTGACGGCTCCGCTCCCCGCGGGGAACCGGAGGGACCGCTCGGGGGCCCAGCCGCTGCGGGCTTTGTGGATGTCGAATTCCTCGACGACGGCGTTGCGCCGGCCCACGTAGATGCGGTCGCCGGTGGGGGACCAGCAGGCGCCCATGCACCAGGGCGGGACGCCGCGTTGGGGGACGATGCGGGCGATGGGGTCGGGGACGCGGCGGTCCCAGATGCGGAGGGTGCCGTCCATGCCGGCGGAGAAGAAGGTTGTTGAGGAAAGCTGGCCTGGTTCGGGCTGTGTCGTGGGGTTGGAGGAAAGGACTAGAGTTGGTGACGAGGTGGTGCCTCCTTGTTGGGTATTGTCTGTAGATGCGGTAGTGGTGGTGGTGGCGGCGGGGATGGTAGATTGGTTGTTGGAGTCTTGGGTTGGTGCGCTGTCTGTCATTGTTGCGTCAGTAGAGGGGGCGGAGTTGGTGGTCGTCGTAGGTTGAGTAGAAGTTGTGGCGGTGGAAGGGACGTCTTGGCTCGTCGTAGGAACTATGCTCGAGGCGCTTGTATGTTGAGTAGTATTAGTGGTATCTGTAGTATTAGTAGCCGCTAGGCCGGAGCTGTCTGGCGCCGTACTTGTCGCAGCTGCATCCTGCGTCAAGGGTTGTAAGGGTTGTTGTTGTTGTTGTTGTTCCGCAGCGACATCTCCCATGGTGCTGTCCATCCCAGTCATCGTCGCATCCGTCGGTCCTCCATCCGCGTTTCCAGCATTCATCGAATCGCCTTCTAGCGACATGCCAATAGCATGCGAGAACTCGTCGTCATCGTCACCCCCTCCGAAACCGCCTCCCATAGTCTCGCCAAAGAGCGACCCGGCGTCACTGCCACCAAATAGACTCTCGTGAGCAGGAGATGCCACATCACCCATCCCATCTCCAGCATCGCCGTTCGCACCACCAATCCCCCCAGCGTCGCCGGCGCCGGAACCGGAAAACAGGTCGCCATTCGAGAGCAGCCCCCGCTTCTCATCAGTCGAGAAAAAAGTGTCACTCACGACCGGCTCCTCGGCCGCCGTTGCAGGGAAGGGATTGCCCCTGGCCGGTCGCAGCTCAATGGCCGAAATTTGACCACCACTGCCGGGGAATGACCGGCTGACGACCCCTTGGTTCAGGTCCCAGTCGAAAATCTGCTTGTCCCAACTCCCGCTGAGGACGCTCGTCTCGTCGGGCGCCAGCGTCAACACGCTGACGGCGTTGGCGTGCTGCTTGAGCGAATGGATGCGCTTGCCCTCGTCGTGGCGAACGCTCTGAAGATTTATACAGCCCGACTCGAGGCCTGACAGTAGCCACAGGGCCTGGGAGTGGATCGCCAGCGAATACACGGGCGACATGACATGCTCCTCTGGACCGCCCCGCGCGTTCGGCTGCGGCGGTTCCTCGTTCTCCCAGTACGAGACAAGAACACCAGCCTTGACGACGCTGTCGACGAAGGGGTGTCGTTGCGCCACCGTGAGGAGTTGCTTCCCATTGATGGTCTCGGGCCCGCTGTACTTGCGAATATAGCCGTCGGAACCGCCCGTCATCCAGAACCGCAGATCGGGCGTTATGGCCATGGCGTTGATGCTCGTGGCTTGTGGCGCCGCCATGGTCGGTATAATGTCGTACACTTTCGCGCTGTACACTTCGGGCCGTATTACGGGCTTCCATCTCGCGGGACCTGGCGTGGCGGACTTGGAGCGCGTGGGCGACGCGCCAGGTGCTGCGCCGTTTGTGCCGTTGGGGCCTTTGGAAGAATCCGCTTCCGGCAGGGGCTTCGCATCGCCTCCTTCGTCTTCTACTTTTATTTGGACGTTTTGGCTCGCGTCGGCATCGTCAATGGCTTGTGTGTCGGCCTGGTCGGGGTTGTCCTCATCGTCTTCATTGTCATCGTCATCGTCTTCGCCATCGTTTTCATTGTCGTCATTGTCGTCGTCACCGTCACCATCTTGGTCGACTTCCTGATCGGCATCGGCGTCGGCATCGGCATCGACATCGTCTACATCCTCCATGACTTCGTCCTGGTCATTGTCGGAGCTGGCATTGGAGTCTTCATCGATACGGGCGTTAGCTGGGAGGTTGGGAATGAAGTGAAGCGCGAAGCGCAAGGCAGATGGACAGCACGGTGGGGGGGAAGGTAAAGGCAAGGATCACACCTCTATCATCGTCGTCCATGGCTGATACTGCGTGTGCTAGAAAATAGTAGGCGAATTATCAAGGCGAAGCACCATCAAGCCTTCGCGCATCGATTGTCGGCCTCAACTGGGATATCCTCTTAGAGGATGATCGCGTGGGGTCGCGTTTGCCCCTCTAGGGAAAACGATGGCCTTTTAGCTAATCGAGAAGGACGGCGGCATCGAAATGACGCCTACGTTTGGGAATAGGGGTGAGCAATAGTCTTCATGGCAGACGTGTGCGGAACAAATGGTTCCGTGTCGGTCTCAGTCTTCTCTGTGTCTTCTTCTTCAGGAGGAAAATAGCTTCTCCCATGTGAAACGGTGCCAAAAGCTCACTAGTTTGTCGGTTTATATTCGGCTAAACCGCCTGTGGAGACTTGCTTGTGTGAGGTGGAAACTGCGACCAATTAGCTCCACATTTTCTCCGACCGCCCCTTCTTCAATTGCTTCTCCCCCTCCTCCACAGGCTCCAGCTGGTAGTGAATAGAGTCTGAAGCAGGCACGACCCACGTCCCACGACCCACGAACCCCACCATCGCAGTTGCGCTTCCTCAAACTGTTTCCCCAAACTCAAGTCGACAACCTCCATAATTTTGTGTGCTTCTGCCCTCTCCTCAAACCGCCATTTCCCACTTTCGATTTTTCGTCAGTCTTTTCCTTCCATAGTCCGGATTCGTTTACGATTTACGATTGTACGTCTCAGTCTCTCAATCTCTCTGCCTTTCACTCCAAGCCGCGCCTCTCCATATCCACCCAACCCAGCATCTCTCTCGAATCCCCCCCATCGCCTCGCCAAGCATCGCGTTGCGGTGTGCGTCATTCCCCCCTTAATCCTCGACCACGAGACCGCGTCAAAGACTGCCTCACTCCACCCTCCGTCTTTCCTCTTTGTTACGACGCGTCCCATCGCAGCTGGACCTAACGTCGTCCCTTCAGTTACGACGACCTCTCATATCACACACAGCTCCATCCCTCTTTCGAACCTTTCGGCCCCGTAGAACCTCTTCCTCAACGCCGATATCAGCAACAGCCGGCAACCGCAACGCCAACCACATAATACCGCCCGCAACACCAACAGCCTCAACCCCAGCCTCACCACCAATCGCACCAGCAATAAACACCATGTCCGCCGCCGAACCTCCCCGTCAATACGTCCCCCTCACCTGCCACGGCCACTCGAGGCCTGTGCCCCATCTGAGCTTCTCTCCCCTGGAAAAGGACGACATGTACTACATGATCTCTGCTTGCAAAGGTATTAAGAGCCGACAATTCCAATAGACTTTTGGAGAGACTCTGATTGCTAACCTTTGGACTCGCCCCTCCAGATGGAAATCCTATGCTCCGAGACGGCCAGACTGGCGATTGGTACGGTCAATTCACTCCATCACTAGCCCACAAGGCTACCGATCCCTCTTTTCATATACTAATCGCGCCCTACAGGATCGGAACTTTTATCGGCCACAAAGGCGCCGTATGGCAGGCCAGGTTAAGCCCCAATTCAACCAACGCTGCCACCGCATCCGCCGACTTTACTGTGTATGCTGAGGGCTCGCCCCTACCTTGCAAACCCCCCCCCTTCCCCCACGCAAGCTAATGTCGTGTCCATAGCAAAATCTGGGACACTCACACCGGCGAGCCCCTCTATACCATCCAGCATAATCACATCGTCCGCGCCATCGCCTACCCCCCCGACAACTCTGACCTCATTGCGACTGGTGGCAATGAGAAAATTCTCCGTGTCTTCGACCTTACCGAAACCCCCAACCCCACCCAGAACGGCAACCCCGCCGTCCCAGCCGTCATCGAGTCCACCCGCGGCTTCGAGATTGGCGAAGGAACCCACAAGGCGCCTATCAAGTTTATCGCTTGGACTAAGGATCCAAACATTATGGTGACGGCGTCCGACAACACCCTCCGATGGTTCGATCTGCCTACGCGCGCATGTGTGCGACAAGAGGTGCTGGATGGCGAAATTCGGTCCTGCGAACTAGTCTCACTCGCGCCCGCTTATACTTCGCCCGATGACATTGGCGGCGGTCTTCCCGTGCTCGCCGTTGCGGCTGGGAAGTGGGTGTACTTCTGGGGCGGCCCGCAGGCCATGGACGAGATTAAGCGGATGGAGCTGAAGTACACCATCGCCAGTGTTGGACTAGATCTGAAGGGTCGCAAGTTGGTTGTTGGCCAGGAGCCGGGTACTTGGGCGCGAGTTATTGACTGGGATACGGCTGAGGAGTTGGGTACGTTGCTACTAGTCGCAAGAGCAATCCCCGTCTCCCATCGTCTAGAAAGCTAACTCCTCTCTCAGAAACACACAAGGGACACCACGGACCGATTTGGTCCATCGCCTTTTCACCCGATGGCAAGTTGTACGCCACAGGATCGGAAGACGGCACCATCAAGATGTGGAAGAACTGCGACGGCTTCTATGGGCTCTGGCGCGGTGGTGCCACCGCTGCCGACCGCAACGTGGACTAGAAGGACACGACCCACGGCGCTAGTACCGCGCTGGCCTCGTGCAGCGGACGGCGTGAGCGGAGCGAGGCGACGGTCGACACCAAGGAGAACCAGAATCACGGTACCTCCGTCGGTAAGACTCCGAGGAGCGGCAAATCAGTGGCGTTCAAGGTACCAGATGGTTCGGAGAAGATTTCCAAGACCTCGACTGCGGCCAACACGACGGGGAACGGCGCGGGCGGCGGCCACAAAGGCAAGGACACCGGCAATCTCCAAAGGGATGGTCCACACAGTGGACGTCAGATCAAGGATAAGGATACGGTTGCCCATCACAACAAAGGCAGCAGCAACGTTCAGCGGGAGAGTAAACGAAGCGAGCGAGGCAAGAGGGACGAGTCCTTCCAACAGCGAGTAAGAGATGAAGGTTATGCGAGGGGAGGAGGAAAAGAGCATCGCTGTGAGGACGAGAAAGAAGCCGCTTTCTCTCAGTGGGATGGCGAAGAAAGGTTTTATTAGCGATGGCGCAAAGGGGGTGTGTTAACCTTTTGTTCTGACCTGCTCTCTTTTTTTTAACGGTTCGAGGTGCAACTTGGAGTTCTCTTTTTCACTCCCCCAACCCATTTTTCCAGATACACATTTGTTTTCCTACCATGGCTCATAGAGATGCGTCCCCCAGCTTGTTCTGATGAATGATTGTGTTTTCTGAAGGCATCATATAGAGATTACAAAACCCCCGAGTGAAAAAAAAAAAAAAAAGAAGGCAGAAAAAAAGGAAGAAAAGAAATGAAATTAAAAAGGGACACGACGCATGGTTTGAAAGGGTCTAGACTTGTGCAAAGCGATCTGTCTATGTTGGACGAAGATTTGAACTGGGAGGGAGGACCGGGGATGTGTACATAGCGGGTATAGATACACACACACACACACACACACACACATATACACACGCATTTCTATGTATACCTAACCCGCGAGGGATAAACAGAACGAATGCATCCGAGTCTGAAGTCGACTAGGGATTGGGCTGTTTGAGGCCTAGAGTTGGTGGTATAGGGCTGATGCCTCTGTCGCGAAACAGACAAGTGAGCCCGCCTTCGTCCAGGAAACATGTCGGCTCCAAAGGCCGCGAGGCCTTCAAGATCTCGGCACTGGCCCCGGTCTAGAACCCAACCTGCAGGCAGCTCGTCACACATAGGGCCAGCCATTTACATTGTTCAGGATTTGAACTCTTAGTTGTTTTTACTCAAACTAGATATGCGTGATACCCAAACATTGATACAGAAGTAACAGCATCCATCCCACGTCGGCCGAGTATCAAGTCGAACAGACGAGAAAACCCAGTTTAAAGAAACAATGGGGAGGCAAAATAGAAAAAGGACAAGGACACTCCAAACACCAAGAAAGAAAAAAAAAAGTGGGAACGTAGTTTGAACAAAAAAGCCCGGTAACATGCCGCTATTACAGACTAAGGAATAATCCTAGAAAAGAAAGAAAAATGAGACGAAGCGGATAAAAAAATGTCAAGAAATCCTTCAAATCCCCTCCCGGAGGAAATACAGAAACCCTTCCGCGCAAGTGGCTCGGAAGCAATACAGCCCAAGGAAACAGACATGGATATCCAAAAACATAACGTAGCGTTTCTTCCTCCCACCCGCCAGAAACACCCCCCTTTTTTAACCAAAACGTTCCCAACTTTCCGAGTATACAGAAAAAATGATTCGACGCAATGATTAATGTTGCGTCGCCGAGGGTTTTCCAAAGCTGGACACATACACACTCATGTAATCTCAACACTTTGACACCTCGATGCAAAAATTGTTCCCAAGAAAAAGAAAAAGAGAAAAACAGTGAAACATGATGCCCCCCGCTGCGGAATGCGTGATGCAGATGTAGAACAAGAAATGAGTTAACGCCAAGAACGAAAGGGTAAGATCTTGTTTATACCGTCTTCCCTCCGCAGTCGGGTATCGTCAGACCCTTCTTCAAGTTCCGGTTCACATCAAACAGCCCCCAGTGATCCTCCCACTCCTTGCCCTTAGTGTTGAAGCGTACCTTCCACGGCTCGTCAAAGGCCGAGAACCAGAAATATTCCGTGCCGTTCGTGAGGGCATCGCACACCCAATCCTGCAGCAGCGTGTTCATCTCGGTGATACCGGCCACAGACGCGTCAGGACAGTTGGTCGATGCGCCGGTGGGGGAACAGTTGGTGCCGCCCTGCGAGGGCCAGCCAATCTCGGCAATGATATTCTTCTTCTTATCCGTCTTCCACACAGGCCCGCTCTTGCCCTCCCAAAAGGTCCAGGTCCAAGAGGCGGCATCCCTCGCGTTCGTGCCGGAGAAGAAGGGGTGGATATTGGCCATGATGTACTCGGAGGCGTCAGTAACGGGAGGCTCGAGGTCGTCGCCAAGGTCAGAGGTGGCCACAGCCAGATTCTTGTAGCCACGCGACGTTAGGTTAGTCTTGACTTCCTTAAGCAGCAACGAGAGTTCCGAATTGGTCATCTGCTGGCGGAAGAGAATCTCGTTGGCGACGATAAGGCCGGCGAAAGGGTCCTCGCCGTATTGATCGAGAATATTCCACATTTGGTCGAGCTGGCGCTTGTTGGTGGTGGCGTTGTTATCTTGCCACACACCAATCCACACCTTCATCGTGTCCTTGAGGTCGAGGCGGTCGATGGCGTGGACGACCATCTCAGTCTGGTTACAGTCAGTACCGTACAGGCGCACAACGTTGGTCAGTTGGCTGAGGACGGCGATGTCACGGGTAATGTTGTTCTGTGAGGGCGGGTCGTGGATGCACTCGGGGTACTGGGTGTTGAGCGGGGTGTAATCCATGCCCGGGAAGACCTTGTGGAGATCCTTGTTGTTCATGAGGGCCTTGATCTCGGCGCTGTTTTTGCCCAGGTCGCCGTTGGCTGCTACGTCCTCGTCGGCAGACTGGCCTTGCCTCGTCGAGGTCTTGCTGTCTTGCTTCAGCACGGATCCCAAGACGCCACCAACGATGGCGCCTATCACGATGAGAATGACACCAATAATAATTGCCCACTTCCACTTCTTCCTGCCGCTGTGTTGCTTCGCGAGCCAAGGCGACTCCTTTTCGGCGAGGATACCGGCGGCCCTGCTCTTGCTACCACCGGAGGCATCAAGGGCAGCCGAGCTACCATCATGGAAATTGCCTGTATTTTGGTTAGATTCCCTAGCACCAAAGGCAGGGGCAGCCATACCTGATCCCATAGCTCCCCCCACCGCGGCGGCACCGGCGGCGGCAGGGGCAGCGTTACGGCCTCCGCTCCGATTGCTGTGCAAACTAAGCGCAGATGACCGGGCAGCTTTTCCGTAAACGAGGCCATCGTCGCCATCGTCGGCGATGGTGTTAGGGTCTACCATGCCTAATTGGGGTACGTTCTGGTGCGAGCGTGAGTAGGGGTCGTTCGTCTCATAGGGTCGAGCAGCAGCCTGGGTGTGACCTGGGCCGTATCCGGATATGCTAGATCGCGACGAGCCATCCTGGCTACCGCCAGCGAAGGGATTCGGGTTGCCGTTATTGGTCGTCGTGTCATAGGGGCCGGGTTGGGCGTAGGGGTGTTGATGTGGATTTTGGGCATAGTTGGGGTTGCCGTTATTGTAATAGTTGTCGTTGCCGGGGCCGTTGTACGGCTGCTGGCCTCCATACCGCATGGCTTCGGCTCCGCTCTCTCGCGCGTGAGAATCGGCGACTGAGTAGGCTATGCCCGCCACACCTCCGGCGGCTACGTTACTGAAGTTATCGGCACCGGGAGTTATGTTGCTCTGGGCATGAGTGTTCTGGCTCGAGGAGGGTTGGGGCGGCGAGTGGCGGCTTCCCGGGGGCTCGTTCCACTGTCTCTGGTCGGCGTAGTCGTCGCGAGCGTAGGGACTCTGACCACCGCCTCTGGAGGGGGACGAGGAGGGTAAGGGAGCGTTCTGGTTATAGTAAGGGTCGGCGGCGGCGTGGTTGGGGTTGGGGTGAGGAGGCGAGGATCGATCGTAGGGTTGGTCGTGGTAGGACTGGGAGGCCTGGGGAGGAGCCTGGTCCGGGTAGTAGACGGGCGAAGGGCCTCGATTACTGTAAGGGTTGTCGAGGGGGATGGACTCGGGGGGATGGGACGGATCGTAGTAATGACGGCGCTGCATTGTGACTCTCTTGTGTCGGGAGCGCGGCTGGGACGGCGATCTTCTTATGTGCTACAGAGCTGACCTATGACGGGCCGCACATACAGAGCTTATTGCTCCGGATTGTCAAGGAAAGGGGTGTTGCCGACTTTTTTTTTTGTCCTTCTCGTATGTGTTGCGCAGTCGTCGTAGTATGGAGAGAGCGAGGTATAAATGGTAAGAAAAAGAGGACGGCAATTGTGTCGATATCGACGATGATGCGTTTAAGGGCCGGATTAACCAGACGGGCGACGAATCTTGGCGACAAAGGTTGGTGTCTCTGCCTTGGCAATTTAGGATATAAAGCGAGGGGGTGGTGGTGGACAGCAGTTGAAGCGAGGGAAGGACAGAGCGAGCGATCTATGTGTCTATGCGTATGCTAGATGCTAAGCCACGAGAACCGAATTGGTCAAAATTGAAGAACGAAAGGAAGAGAAGAGAAAGAAAATTCAAAAGTGAATGAATGAGGTTCCCGAAACGAATCCACGAATCCCCAGATCTTGGCTGCGCTGCGTGTTGTTGCAGGGTGAGGTGCAAAAAACGAGAGAAGAGGTGGAAAAGGAAAGGGACCGGGTCTGACACGAGCAAGCAACAGGCGTCCAAGTCAGGATGAGCAGGCGTGGGTGTGGGAGCAGGAACGAGTGAGAAACAGAGAAGGGGAGGGGGCGCAGCAAGGAAAACAGGGAAGCAACGATGTGAGCAGTACGAAGTACGTACTAGTGACATCAATTGAATCGCATGGGAAATCCTGGGCGTCGATGTCACGAAATGTTACGGGGTGACGGGGGTACAGTGCATGTACCCCACCGCCTGTTGCAACATTACGGTTGTACATGTTTATGCTTATACTGTACATCGGACTACGGTGTTACTGCGTCACGGCGTTGTTGGTGGACGGCTCGGTGACCAGGCTGGGGACTAGTACAAGAAGTGTACGTCCTCGTGCTCCAGTCCTCAAAAATTAGTAGAAGTCACGTCCAGTCGACCCGTTTTGGGACGGAGTATATATGGTCAAGGCTGTCCATGGCAGTGATGGTGATGTTGGATTTCGGGGGTAGGGCTTGGAATCGACTCGATCAAGGGGTTGACCCTACTCCATAAACTACAAGCAGGGGAGTCTAACGCATGCACGAAGACTCAATCAAACTCGGAAACATTGGTCGAAAGATGGCAGGACAGTGTCCAGTCAGTGCTCAGTTCCAGCGCCTCGTACAAAAATAACCCAAAACAGCATATAGAGAGCACAGTGTTGCATTCGCCTATTCGTACGAGGAAATACAGAGTAAATCTCAATTCACCACAGGGCACTGTGTACTTCGGAGCTGGTGTATTTCGTAAACTTCATCCTGAATGAAGGAACTTGTCCAACTTAACGAAGCATGTTGACGATTCTTCGCAACACAATGGATTCGCCGTGAGAAATACGGCATGATTCATGTGAGTGGCACGAGCCTATTTTGACGCCCAGGTCGATGCCTTTCTTGCTGCTGCGGTCGCCTCCAGCCTTCCAACCATTTCATCACCTCGATCTCGGCTTGGTTCGTGTCATCCCTCTCCCCATTACCAGACCTATAAAGCCGTTGCCCGACTACGAGGTTCCTCCACCTGGTCAATTCTTGTAAGGCTGCGGGCGTGGCTGAATGATCCCCTAATAGCACTAATAGCACGTACATTAGCCGTTAGCGCCCCTAAAATACGATGCACGGTTTTCTGGTTCCTTCGCCCATTCACGCTTCGTACTTCGTACTTAATACTTCCAGCGCCTAGCGTAGCGTATACCTCATTTCTCTACTATACAACTAGCAGCTTCAAAGTCATTCATACAAAGGTGCGTCCGGGCTGCCTTTTGAATTGCTTCCGCCGAAATTGAAGGCATCCACAGATGCACCTGGTGCGTCCAGCCGTTGAAAGTAGCGACCTATTCTGGAAAGCCGCTCGCCAGGAGAACGAGCACTAAACATGCGGCTGGCAATGTGAGCCTGAGAGGGCTGCCGAAATTATCTGCCCGCAAAATTGAATTTTGCTGATAATTGTATTTGGTGTTACCACACCAGGCAGTACGAAGTAGGCAGTGGCTTATTATGCCCAAGCCTGAATCCTTCGCTGCAACAGTCCAACGTTGACGGAGGACCGAGGTGAGGTGGAGTAATACTGATGGGGCAGACGGCATGTCTCGCTGAGCATCGAAGAAACGAAAATCGATCTGTCCGACGAGCAAGATCCCACCCAAGGCCACGAGATCACGACAAGTCGCAGAATACGAAGAGAAACTCGCAAATGAAAAATACGGGGAATGACGATTCTAGAGCGTGTTCTGTCCCAAGTTGGAAATCGTGCATCCAAATGTCCAAATGTCGTCTCATCCCCCCTCGCGGAGTCCTAGGCCGTTGGACTTCGTAATGCTTGCCAATTCCGGCGATTCAAAGGTGCTAGCGGCTGCGAGGGTGCCGCTTATTACGAAGTAACACTTCAAACTAGTATGAGTACTTTGTACGAAGTCCGTACGTGCACGAGATGAGGCGGGTGCCAAATGGGAGGAAGGAAGGAAGCTGCCGCATTTTGGTGACCACACCTTCTTCGTTTATAAGTACTTCGTAATACGAAGCAAGTATCCTCCTTCTCTTCGAGTAAGACCAGTGACATTCCGCTATTTCCGAAGTATTTATTTGTAGGGACAGGATGAGCTTTGATTTCACGTGGCGCCTGCTTCCAGTCTCCTGTCATCCAAGGTACAGCTTCGTACGAAGTATGGACGTGGGTGAATGGCGAAAAACAAGTTGAGAAAATCGTCATTATTACCTCTGCCCTGCTTCGTACGTCGCAGGGAAATTTGGACTTTTTGCCTTTCCCCTTTTCTTCTTTCCTTTCTTGCTTTGGCTCCAGGCACTGCAGTATTGGTACATTAAAATACAATCTTACCAACGCCATAATGTGACGGGTAGCTGTATCTCGGAGTATATTTACTCGTGTGGCATCCGATACAGCCACTATCTCCAGGCAAGGAAGGCAACCGCTCAGGTCTGAATCAAACCAGTGTTCCACCAAGAGCAACGTCCGCCCCACTGCGTCAAGGGTTGTCTGGAATATTGTATTTTTTCTCACAGGGTTCGGCGGGGAAATACTTGAATTGGATCAATCATCCTTGATACTCTGGAGTCCAGGAGTCGGGATGCCCCATAATAACGGTGGATGGCGCTAAGCAATCAAAGGTGCATGCATCTCAGGAACACAACATTGATCTCTATCATCATCAACCAGCGGTCGACCTGGGCTGTATTGCCCGTAAGTTATAGTATGGATCAGTCGTCAAGTTATCAATTCTCTTTGGGGCTCGAGGACAGCAAGGTCGGACTCCCTCAAGGTCAGTTCTTGTCCTTCATGTGCCCAATCCCTACACAATCGCAGTTGCTTCAGACCCGGGATTCAGACAAGTCACGTGGTCACCCATTCAAGTACCTCGGTATTCATTCTCCGGACGGGTTCAATGGTGTCGGTGTCTTTGGAATCTTGGGTTATTGGGGGTTCACGGCTTGTCATCGGGTGCCTATTCGGGTCCTCCTGGATGAATAGGGTGTCGAATTACTCCGGTGCCGACAAGAATACCTGGGCCTGGGAATATCGATGATCAGGTCTCCTCTGGGACGGCGCGGCGAAGTGGGTTGGTCGCAAGGCGGACCATAGCATAGACATTGCAGTGTAATCGAACGGAACTCGTCGTGAAACCCAAGCCGTTCCAGGCGCCCTTTCCTTCCTTCTTCCGCCCTTCAGCACTTCTCCAAGGGTTCAAGGGTCCAAGGAACAAGATGTCTAGCATGGAAACACCAAAGAAAAGGCGGCCAAGTGAACGCTGGACCTCATTCGACAATTGGGATTACGATGGGATGAAGGAGCGCCTTGAAAGGTTCATGGCGTCGATCAACAACCCCGCGTTGGTAGAGCATGCCAAAATCGTACTCAACTCTCCCGTGTCGATGAGCGAACCATTCTCAGCTGGGCAGTACTGGTGCTGTTTTGAACTTGTCGCGCCTGATGGTCGCCTCATCATTGCCCGGGTGCGGCTGCCAAAGCACCCTGACAGCAAGACCAGCGATAGCGATGGCGCCGACGAGTACTTGATTCGATGCGAAGTCGCGACAATGGGGTTTCTGCAGGCGAATGTCACAACCATCCCATTCGCAACACTATTCGCCTACGAAGCACCAGGTTCTGCCAAAGCTGTTAAAGTCGGCGCTACATACATGCTTATTGAAGGATTCTACGGAAACACTCTCCAGGATGTTGACCACAGCATTTACAACCTTCCTGTATGTTCTAGTTCTCTTCCTAATAGCTACAGCTCTTACTTATAACTTTACTAGGTCTCTACTCAGGAGCGCATTATTACGCAGTGGACGTCATATCAAGCGGAACTTGCTGCCTTCACCTTTCCCTCGATCGGCTCAATCTCACAATTTCCTACTGAGAAAGGCCCTATTATTGGCAAGCTCGCTACGGCTTCGAGTGATGGTCTTCCCACCGCTGGGCCGTTCCAATCCGGATGGAGCTACTTCAATGCCCTAGCAGAAGCTCGACTCACTCAGGCGCGGAAAGAGAATGCATCTAGTACGGAGAGTGACAGGTTTACAACTTCTTGGCTCACTCGTATTCAGAGACATCGTGCGGAACACAGAAATATTCAAAGACCCCGACGACCAAGGACCCTTTCATTTCAACCACATGGACATGGGTATACAGAACATTCTTGTCGATGACGACTTTACCATTCTCGCTATAATTGATTGGGAACTTTCCCAATCAGTGCCGTGGGCCGTTAACCATTATTCAATGCCCATCCCACTCATCCATTCTGATGAGGAAATCAGGGAGATTCTTAATGACCCCGGACACATCGCCCATCGCAACGTGTCACGCCAGGAAGCGACGAGAGCCATGTATCGCCGTAAATTTAAAGAGGCGGAAGCAGCACTCAAGGAAAGAGGCCCGCCGCTTCGCGTCTCAATTTCTGAGATCCTGGAGGGGAAGGCGTCTAGGATCTACGGAGTGTCTTGAAAGATTGGCGTCTTTGAGGGCATGGAAAAAGACCTTACCTACGAACTGGTGCGATTGGGTTGCGGTCTCACTGGTCCTGAGGCAGACCAGTATCTCGAGAAATTAGAAACCGAGATGAAGAAGAAAGCTCGAGACTTGTAGGTGCAGTGGGATTACACCCATATCAGTCTCCCCCGGCTACGAGAGACATTCCCCCGAGGCAGAAACCATGCCATCACGGGAGGTAAGTTATTCTATATTCAGTAATGGTGAACTGGCTGTCAATCTTCCGCATCGGAGGAGGAGATGGTCGGTTCTCTTCTGATTCGCCCGCTTCGGTTATTCGAACCAGACCAGCCCCTTCTGATCGATGTTAGTCGGTTCCCCCCTTCTAGTTCGTAAAATACTTCGCATAATCCCTCTCTGCAGGTTCATTGCCGGGTAATGTTCCGGTACCTCTAGAGTCTAGACTAGCTACTAGATCGGAAAGCAGGGTGACTGGCAATGACTTCGGTATTGATACCACAATTGATTTTCGCTAACAGAAATTCGCCGGGGAATACATTCCATCGATCTTGATACTCTGGGTACCTCATCCCATACTACGTTAAGTCGCTGGAGCTAAGAAACCAAAGGCACATGCATCAATGATTCAATGATGTCGGGAACGCAAAGACATGTCGACCTCATCTCGGCCTGGAACCGGACAGAACAACCATCTTCAATGTTGTATATTACCTACAAGCGTCGTCGATTCCCTTCAGACTCGAGAATAACAGAACCGCACTCACTCAAGACCAATTCTTGTACTTCGTATGCACCACTAATTGTGAAGGCTGCTCTGGGAAAGCCAGCCAGCGCCGAATCCAGCTCTTATGTATGTGACCAACTTTCAAAGCAGAGGAGCCCACGAAAGATGCGGGTGGGATGGAAAATATCAAGCTGTGAGCAATTTATCTCAGTGATAGGAAAATGTCCCATTCCACATCCACACTTGATTCATTCCCTGGAGCGGATCACCTAACCATTCGGCGTGTGGTGCGGTCCATACGTCCATCGCACTCCCCATGTCACCATATGGGGAGCCGCTTAGCATTTCTTGTAATGCGGGATCGGTATCGGAAGGGATGCGTTTTCCATGAACTTTAGAACACATACAGGGCCCATTTTCATTTTCATGCATATGGGATGTTTGGCATGGCGGTGCTGCTAAGGTTAATCCCGTGTCTAGTTCATGGGCTTGGAGTTGTTGTTGTTCATCCCCCTTTTCCGATGTTGTGCTCTTTCCGTGATCGCTATCGCCAGGCGGCGTTGCTTCCGGTGTTATACAGGTCGGCGTGTGAAGCGCCTGAGATCCTCCACTTGAAGCTGGGCACATTTCTGGAGTGGGATCAAGTGCATGCGCATGAGGATTCTTGTAACTTTCGGCAGCACTCTTGACGCCATCCGGTGACGCAATCAGCGCCTTGGTCTCCTCGGAGGCGATTGCGTGCATCAAGTCAGTTAGCACCTCCGACATCTGGCTCCGCATATGCGGCTTCAGCTGAGCGCTTCGAGAGAATTGTATGATCCGGGCAATGCCGCGCTTACACTCGTCTCCGCGCGTTGACAGAGGATACGACAGTGCCAGGAGAGCCAACATGACTCCGGCCGAGAAGGCGTAAATGCCCACGTGAAGGGCCGGGAAACTAAAGGAAAAAAGGTTTCGGATATTGGGACGTTGGAAAACCAACGAAGTCCTGGTGGCAGATGTCCAGCATTGCGTCTCTGCTACCTGGAGGAATGCGTCAGGCACTCTATCAGGCCTAACCCCTGTGGCCAGAATCGACGCAAGGCATGCCGGTGATGACTCCCTCGTTCGTTGGAGGGCCTGAGATACGCTTCCAATGGTGATAAGTGGTCTGAATAGGAATATCAGGAGGTTGTCGTAGGAGATGCGGAGAGTGAGAGCCTGTATGGCGAAAACCTGCCGTATGAAACCTTCCTCCCCCTCCGACGGGATGAAATCCATGTGGGATTCCAGCTGTAGCTCTGGGGGGACAGACCTTTCCCACTCTAGGACTCTCTCGAAGAAACCCTTAATAAGTCGGACAAGTTCTCCAGGTTTGTTGTGCCGTGTGAAGTAAATTTGATTCATGATGGAAGAGGCCATCATGTACATTTTCGCCTTGTAGCGGTTGTACGACCCCGTAGTCACAGAACAGAGTTCTCCATCCTCGCGTTTCTCCATCGATTTAAATCCCGGATGTTGAAGCATGTTTCCCTCCAGGTCGTCCGGAAGTTGAACGCAGCAGCTATCCTCAGTCACTATCGGTGGGGTTCCATAGGACATGGAGAGAAACCTGCACACCACCCTCAAATGTCAGCATGTATAGCCCCAGTCTAAGACTCTGAACATCGAGATCCATTGATGCCGTAGAAGCGAGACCGACCCTGATCCAGTAAAGACACACCACCATATACGCCTCCGGTTTTCGCGTTCCGTCGTGGAGATATCTCCCCACGATGACTCCCGGTGAAGGCCGATTGACTCTGCAGCGCGCACAGTTGTTCCTATAGCCATATATGCGGACCTTATTTGGCGGTTGAAAAGGTAATTGGCCGACATCATGAAGGAGAATGCCACGGTGTCGGGTGTGACAGAATCCATGAGTGGAAAATACCATCTTTCTACGCCTGCTGTGAGTGTTGACACGAGGTCCGTCAGGGAAAAGGTAGAGGTGCTGAATTTCTCTTGCTTGACTTCGTCGCTCAAAAGACGAGCCCCCATGATCATTGCGACGAGGGCTTTCAAAATGAAGGGTCTCTGAGACCGAGGCGCGAGGCCGGTGGCTAGGATAGGCTCTAGCTTGTTGTAGAACGACGGTGCATCGAGGATATTGAGATACCAATGCATGGACTCCATGTACGCTGTTAATAGTGTATCTATAATGTCGCGTGGCGGCAATTCAAAACCTAGAAGCTCTGCCACGGGAACCAATCTCGTTTCATCGAGGTCTCTATTCGGTGAACTAGAGCCCGGGATGGCATCAACCACGCGCGTCTGGCTTGATGTTGATACATCGTATTTTCGAAAAACCTGCGACACATCAATATTAGCCCGTTACGTCCTAATATGATAATGGCGATGTGTGCGCAGAGTCAATCTCGGCCAGTGAATATAGCCGATTTAAATGTAGCATAGCACCATCCAACGCCGACTGGATCACCAGAGTCATCAATCCGTATTTACCTGCTCTACTAATCGGAGGGCGATCGCGCGTTGCTCCGAGGGAACAATCTCCTCAATCCCATGGTCTATTGTCGCTGTATGCATTTCCTGCTGGGGAGAAAGGCCCCCTCTGGGGATTGGTGGAGTGGCTTCGTCGGGGGAGAGGCTCGGTTGGGCCGCCGGCCGTGCAGTTCCCCGGCCGTCCGTTTCCCTAGAGGGGCGACTGGTGACGGTTGAATGGTCCAAAACTCCAGTCGCTGACCGGACCCTTCGGTTTTTGATAAATGCAAGTCTTTCGTGTTTCGGCCGGTTGGACCGCCTAAAAGTTGGGCCAGAGGCTAGGTTAATTGGCTATGTACGGTCGCAGGAATTGACAATTGACTGATGCGGGCAGCGCAGGTGTATGGGGGCTTGGTTTCATACCATGTCTTGTCCGTAGCTTCTACGCATTCTGCATTGGCTCTCACGCACAACACACACGGTCTCGCAGCCTCACACTGCGTGGTGGTGGGGGCCGACGTCCCCGGAGGTAAGCCGATGGTGTTGTGGACCAAGATCCGGGATTCGGGGTTCACCCACCTTCAATTTCTGTCTACGACATCTGGCGCAAGCGTGACGGGTCCGCTTTTGATCCATTGTTTCTGAATGCAGCATGTGCGGATATGAAGCCAGTTCAAGGGAGAGGCCGTCGTCCCCAAGAAGCCGGTTGGGGAGCCGTCGTGGGGGATGGATGGAACTGATATTATGGGCGCTTGTGAGCCGCCGGCTCACGAAGGAGGCCGGTGGCTCGGTCAAGTAACGCGCATCGGCTTTACCCCGCACTCTTTTTAGTGCGTTATCCTACTTTAGTGCTTTAAGGGGAGTAGCCAATACGAAGTAGTGTACTTCGTACAAGAGTCGGACTCGTGTGTGTGTGAATCGGTAGAGAGCGTGTACTCTGATACTGCCAAGGTGGTGAGGCGAGGCAGGAGACATGGTTCAAAGAAAGCGCGCTTGAGCCTCAGGCTCTAGTTCAGTTAATGTGATTGTCAAATAAGATTTTGTATTGAAGCTGTTGCGACTACAGAACACTCTTCCATTTCTTTCGGTACTCCTCCGTCCTTCCTGGCTCATCTCGCTTCGCTATGGCAGCCTTGAAACCCGCTTCCTGGGCCAAGTTCTGGAATCTGATCCCTTCTGGAGAGTTTCTGGTGATTCCGTCGAAGATGGTTGCCAACTTTTGCGCTCTCTCAAGCTGAACCTCGGCGAATCCGTTAATCACGAGCTTGTTCATCCAGTTCTGATTGATGGGTACAGACGCGATCCTCTCCGTAAGAAGCCGGACAGTCCCTTCAAGTTGCTCCATTGGCACTGACTTGAGAATCAGCCCCATGGCCGCAGCTTCCTTGCCGCTGATGAGGTCTCCGGTAAACAGCAGACGCTTGGCTTTTTCCACACCAACGCGCAAGGTCCACATGGCAGTCGTGGGGCAGCCCCAGACTCGAGCCGGGGGGTACCCGATCCTCGCGTCGTCGGCCATGACGACGAGATCACAGCTCAGGGCAATGTCGCTACCCCCTGCAACAGCCGCGCCGTGGACTTGCGCAACGGTCGGCTTGTAACTGTGAAACAGGGACGCGAAGCATTCGGTGTTTGCCTTCATCATTTCGTAGTCTACGAGGGGATCGTAACCCTCGCTTACTTGTTGGCTGCCGTCGGTCTTTCCGCGCCGGGCATTCTGTGCAAAGATTTCTAGATCGTATCCGCCGCAAAAGCCTGGGCCGGCACCTTTGACGACGATGCAGTGAACTTTGGGATCCGCGTTGGCGCGCTTGACGGCTTCTCGCAGAGCGTGTGGGAGGTGCGTGTCAATTGCGTTGAATTGTTTAGGTCGGTTCAGAGTTAGGTACGCAACTTTGCCGTCCTGGGAAGTTTCATAGAGAACAGTGTTCGCCATTTTGTGAGAAAGCTGGCTGAATGAGTTTGTTTGTACGTATGTAAGTTAAAACGCGATGAGAATCGAATATTTCTCACTCCGTGAAGAGTCCGGAGAGGCTGATTTTATGCTGGGCTTCTACACCCCTGTCGGTCCATTTTTTGCATCATAAGGCCGTGGCCGGCGGCCGAGGTTCCTGTGGTGTACCAGCCCGTTAATTCCCCAGCACAACTAGGGTGTGGGGACGTGTATCTTCATCGGCTGGAGCTGGATGGTTGCTTCAGGGGCCGGTGGCTTCGAGGGCCGGCGGCTTGCTCTTCTAGCAGGTGGGCACTCCGGAATTCCCGGCTCCGAGGGGCGGGGCCCGGCAAGGATGCGCTAGGACTGGCCCTTTACGAGAGAGACCTGTAGAAATGGGAAACTCGGCTGGATCTATGTTGTGTCTATAATCATGGCTTTTTATAAAAGAATTTTTATTCCCGCCACCTCTGTTTCCCACCACCTGTGTGATCTCGATTCAGGTATTTCATCCATCGTCTAATGCTCATCACGTCTTTGTCTCCAAGATCCCCCCTTAACATTATAGATATTCCCGTGACTATGGCCAGCAAGCTTGAGATCCCGGACGGCGACATTCTGTCGGTTTTTCTTGCCCCAAACGGAGTATCTGAGGACCAGCCAATCTGGATCGATGGGCAAGATCAGAAGCAACAGATCAGCAAGAGCCTAGCACGGAAGCTTATCCGATGCCTCATCGACGGATACCTTTCAACCGGCCTGATCAGCTCTCAGGCTGCCAAGCCAAGCGTCATCATCCTCTACTCTGAGAACCAAGTTTTGCTTTTTCCCAACATTCTCTCCATCATCGGCGCCGGAGGCACTGTTGCAACTTGCCCATGGGAAGCCAGCGTCCAGGAGCTACTGTACAGGGTCAACTCCTTGCAGCCAGCGGCGGTTCTTTGCTCCCAGAGCTCTCTTGGGCGAGTACTAGAGGCCGCTGAGAGATCTACGAAAAAATTCCAGATTATTATTCAAGATTCCATCACAATGGATGTCTGGTTGCAAGAGTCCCATCATTCGCTAATCTCGCCCCACGGTCGTGACTGGGACGTCAAGTGGGATGAAACAGTAGCAAATCGACCGAGTGTTATTGTTTTCTCCAGCGGAACTACGGGTTATCCAAAGGGTACGTAGTCTTTGTCCAATTATGTGGTTATATATCCGGAATCATTGGCAAACTCACCAAACTCACCACACAACAGGAGTATGTATTTCGCAGCGGAACTTGCTGGCCAATGTTTTCCAGATGCAGCTACAATGGCGCGACATGCTCCAGGATCCATCAGCACCACGCATAGTAGCTGGAGTTCTCGATAGTGCTCACGTCGCAGGAATGCTGGTGAATTGCTTCTTGACACTAGGGCTCGGGTTTTGCAACTACCTTGTGCCAGGTAGTAATATCAACCTCTTGCTCGAGATCATCGTGAAAGAAAAAGTCAACTATCTCATGGCGGTGCCGCCCGTCTACCAGCGTTTGACTTGTCACCCACAGTGGAATACGGCAGACCTCTCATCCGTTAAACACGCCGTTAGCGCGGCAGCTCCGGCGACGCCAGAACTTCTACGGGCTGTCACAGCTAAATTATCCACGGGAGCTTTCTGCCAGCAAGGCTGGGGTATGACTGAGCTTACATGCCTTGCGACGATGCCCCAACCGGGTGTCTTGGGCCCATGGGACAGCGTTGGGAAGCCATTAGCTGGAAACGCAATTAAAATATTCAACGACATGGGCGTAGAGGTTCCCGAGGGTGAGGTAGGAGAGATCTACGTGTCTGGTAAGGGGGAACTGCTGTCCACTAGCCCGACATGACACTGGGATATTTTAGCTGACACCAAGCCAGGACCAACGGTGACTCAGGGGTATTACGGCCAATCGAACGAACAGAGGAAAGAGACTTTCATTGGAGAATGGATGAGGACGGGAGACCTCGGAAAGCTCGACGCGAATGGCTATCTTTACATCACAGGCCGGAATAAGGTAATACTGATATTTGTGTGTCCATAACCTCTCATGTAGGGCAAATCCCACTAACCTGGTGTTAGGACCTGATCAAATACAACGGCGCTCAGGTATCCCCTCGAGAGGTCGAGGAAGTAGTCGGGTCCGTTGAAGTTGTTGCAGAGGTCGCTGTGGTGGGAACCGACCTTGACGATGGGAATGAGCTACCCACAGCTTTCATAACCCTGTCTGAAGTGGTACCACTTAACCGCCAGGCAGAAATCAAAAGGAAAGTTATCGATTATGCGGCAGAGCGTCTTAGCCCTTACAAACGTCTCCGAGGAGGTGTACACATTGTAGATAGTCTTCCAAAAAACCCCATGGGCAAGGTCTCCTACAAAGACCTCAGAGCGCAGGCCAAGGCTCTTAGACAGAAGGAGATGGTGAGCACTCGGTCAAAGCTATAGATAGCATCACACTTCTTATGTAGGTGCATGATGTATGCCTTCGTGGTATATAGCGACGGTGGGACAATAAACAATTGTTCATACCAATAATGTGAGAATACGGTATTTGTACAAGCTAGGAAAATGCCTATCTAGAATTTAAATAAAAAACATATGAGCCAGAAGAACACTACAACCATATCAATTTCTGCTGATCGGCCGTAGATAGATTGAAAACAGTACAGATATCGCCATTGATGTAGCACCTCTCTTACTCAAACTTATCAACATCTCTTCTTCTTACTGTAGTAATGTTTAGAATCTGAGAGGTTGCCGAGAGACCACACGTTCAAACTACGAAGAAGATTTCCCCAGAGTATACTCTATCCTTGCTCACAGGAGTTGGTGGGAACTACTTCGGTCAGTTCTCACCCTCCAGATACCCATCTAATGGTGAATGGCGCGAAGAATCAAAGGTGCGTGAATGATTCAATAATCTCAGGAACACCACATCTCAATCATTAAGACATCAACCCCAGTCTCGACCTAGAGCCGGACAGAACAACGATCTTCAAGATTGTATATTACTTATAGGTGCACGAAGTACTTCGTAGTCAAACCTCTTTCGACTCGAGAACCGCGCACTCAAGGCCAATTTTTGGACTTCCTATGCGCAGTCCCCACAATACGGTGTCCAGACGAAAAAGGGTGATCTGCCCCATCTTGAAACCCATGCATTTCTTGCATGTCACAGAGCCCGCACGGGTACCGGGCCGATAAAACACGGTCCTCTCTCCCCAGCGGAGAGATAAAGGACGGAGAAGCCTCCGCCCTCGATCAACCAAGCTCCAAACTCGACAGCCGCTCGGACAAACATCACGTCCTCCGAAATAAAGGTAGAACCGTCCGTGGCTTGTGTGACAGCCCAAGCGGGAACAGAAGGAAACAAAGCCCGCAGTCAATCCAGCGTTTACGACGTTTAAACAAACGGACCAAGTCGTCATCGACCCGGCGGAGGACAACATCTTCATCCATAGCCATGCTCCCACAGCTTTCTCATGAATGATGCCAACTTGGAGAAGGCGGAGAAGAAGAAGACGAAAAAGAATAAGCGGAAAAAGAAAAGAAGAAAAGAAAAAAAAAATCACGAAAAAAAAAAAACATACAACACCAGGGATTCGCTGGTCGTCACCGACCCAACTACTAGTCTGGCGCTTCGCAGCTTGTGTACAGGGGAGCGGACGGGACCCTCAATTGTCTGCGAGCTATGGTCGTATGTGCTTGGTCTTGCTCCGAGACTGGCTTATATCCTTTCCGGTGTGTTATGTCGATGTGTTCTCGAGGGAGCGTGAGGTCGTCGGATCAAGTGAACGTTCTTCGTAAACATCCACGGGCAACCTTAAGACCACAAAGCACATTGACACAGTAGCTTTCGGAGGGCGAGACGAGAGACGACACGTTCAAACTACGAAGTAGATTTGCTCAGGGTATTATATCTCTCGATCAATGCGAAACCCTGGACTCGACCCGCCGCAACACCGCAACACCTTATCACGGGCTCAATGCGGGAAAGGGAAAGTTGCTTCTGCCCGCTTACCTAAGACAGACTGTGATGTACAAAGTACTTCGTAGACATTGGACTAACAAGCGAAATCAAGGAAAGGTCGTCGCACCAACCGATGAAAGACGGACCCTTTGTTTCATCCTCGGCGCCCCTCAAAAAAAGGGGGTATGAGCGTGCAATCTCGACCTGGTTACGCCCCGATCGACAACTTGCAGAGAACCTGCTCTCCGTCTCTCTGCCTTGGAAAAGAGTCGCTGGTAATTTCTAGCTCTCACATGCTCCCGACGAAGTATTACTACGAAGGTTGAAGTGAGGCAGAATGGGTGGCGGTGTTTCAAATGCTTGGATCAGAAGCACGTGTTCAGTGATTCTTCTGTGCGGCTTGTCTGTGAATGTCTGTAAATCGAATGACTTGGTACTGACAATAGCGTGGCTTTCACGACCTTGGGGCCTCAATAACGCCTAGATGGAGGAGCCCCTCGGACCACGGTGTGACGTTGATGTCCAGAAACGATGTCATATCGACAACCTGTGTTTAGTTGCTGGAAACACACCTCGCTGCATTCCACTCGGATTTCCATTAATATGGAGGATGACAGGAACATGGTACAAGGCGTGCCTCAAGTAGCTATCGCCGCCGGGGCAATCCGGCGTGCCGAAACCTTTTACCCCGCTTACAACGACACAACATCCGGAATCTCCTTCCGGAAGCGGCAGCTCGAGTGGGCCGATAGCGACGAACCGTCCGGATTCTTTCCCCTCGGAACATAAGTGTTCCCCTCGCTCGAGGACCCTAGGCCACGTTTTGGAGACGGCTAGCTCCTCGGGGCCTTGCTTGCCTAGGGGAGTTTGTCACGACCTACGTGGAACCATCCAGTGGGGAAGCCTTGGATAGGGGATGATTACTGCGTGAGGGGGAACTTTACGGGGTCAGCCAATTGGTGGAAGGGGCCTCTAGCAACGTTTGATAGCCTGGATGGACCGGTGGCTGTTGGGAGGGAAAAATCGAGCCGTCCGGCGACGCGGGATGTGACTGCGAGCCCGGGAAGGCTAGTCAGAGTAGTCGTTGGTGAGAAGGGCACCGGACCGAAGCCTGGCGAGAGCTCTCGGAGTCGGGAAGCCTACTACGATGGGATAAATTAGAGTCGACGCAGGGGAGGACGCATGAACCAGGGATATTGCTGTCGGGTGCGAGGTAGTGATTTTTCGCCAACTGTCGTACGTCGTTGAAGCGTTCGAGAACAATAAGACAGATCGACCGCCCCAGCCGATAAAAGTTGAGAATGTGGCCGGCACGCGGAAGAAAGCCAGGTCGTGCATGATCGATTGATTGATTGGTTTGGAATTCCATTGCCCAGCCTGCTGTACCTCAACGCATTGGAATATGCCTACTGGCTGATGGTTGGCGGCTGAGGCAGGCAGCAATGTACCCAAAAGGAATATGATTGAGTGCTGGGCAGGCTGTGCATCAGACTTCTTCCACTCAATCCGAGGTTTCTATCCCAAATTTGTTCTCTCGGAAACAGCGCAACGGAGAGCGGCAGGTTTCCAAAAGCGCCATCTCCTCCACAACACTGTCCTTTCGCGGTAATGAATTGCATGGGCAGTCACGATGAGCGTCTCATCCAATTCCAATCCCGAGGCTTCAGCACGATTGGATTCCGCTTTTCAGCGAGCACTGGCCAAGTTCAAGACGGATAGCCTCACCGAGAAGGAGGGAGATGAGTTCCAATGGGGCACCTTGGATGAACTCAAGGCCTCCATCGAGAAGATACAGGACGAACAGGTTTCTAAGAATAAGAATCGGAATCTCAACAGGGTGAAGGCTTTCCTCGAGGGGATGCAGCAGTACGAGGAGATAGTCAAGGTGTTTCTCAACACTTGCAACTATCTCGCCTTTGTCTGGGTATGCCCCGGCGGCGCGTGGCTTTTGCCCCAAATTCGGACCTTGAAAAAGACTAATTATTCATTTTCCAGGGCCCGATGAAATTTCTCTTGCAAGTGACGAGCAACTTTGTCAATGCTTTTGATGCGCTTCTTGACATGTACAACGAGATCGGCGAGCAGCTTGGACTTCTGGGCAAATACCAGTCCCTCTTCTGCGAGAAGCCTCATATGATGAATGTCCTTGAGATGATCTACGTGGACATTCTTGAATTCCACGCCAAGGCCTTGTCCTATTTCAGGCAGAAACGTATGTGATTTTCGACTCTATTTTCCTTCCTTTTTGAGTGCCAGAATCTTGTCAAGCCTGGCTGACCTCCACCGCAGTATGGAAGCAACTCTTCCGCCACACGTGGAAGAACTTCCGCACACGCTTCAACGACACGATTCAGAACTTCAAGAGACACAAGTCCCTCATCGAAAGCCAGGCAACGCTCGCCCAGTTCGAGGAGATCTGCTCCATCCGCAAACAGCAGGCCGAGCAGCTGACGTTCCAGAGGGAGGAAGCCGTGAAACGCCGTGCCCAGGCGGTGCGGGCTTGGTTGGCTGCCGAAAGCATGACGGTACATCAAGACCACTTCTCGGCACTGAGACACGAATATCCCGGCTCCGGAGAATGGATTCTGAAAAAGAACCGGGTTAGACAATGGTTGGACGTGGGGTCGGCCGCCGGGCCTTTGCTGTGGTTGACGGGGATTCCTGGTGCGGGTATGTTCAGGACCGTCTTCTGGGGCCCTGCCTGAGGCCTTTTCATTCCCCACGTTTCTAACATGGCAAGCAGGCAAGACGTTCCTAGCTTCTACGCTGATCGAGGAGCTGCAAAAGCGGACAGGCGTCCATGTCCTGTTCTTTTACTGCAAGTACGAGACAGTCGGCAGAAACAGTTTCATGGATATCGCGAGGAGTCTTCTGCAGCAATGCTGTCTGGGCGATGAGCGTCTGCAGGAATATATCGAAGCAAAATCCTCCGGAGAAGACACGTTGAGGAAGTCGCAGGCAAAGGAGCTCCTTGACGTGGCCATTCGCCGCAAGAACAGGGCGTTCATCATCATCGACGGCATTGATGAGTGCAAGAAGGAGGAGAAAGTCGAGATCGTATCCTGGCTTCGCGGTATTGTCGCGGGTGATTGCGGAGCATCTGATAGCGATGAAGAAGAAGATGTGGAGAACGAGGGCGAAGAGACGGCCGTGCGTGGCTTGATTGTCGGCCAGGAAGATAATGACTCGTGGAGGCTTCTTCGGGACCTGCCGGTTGTCAAAATTGAACCGGGAGACAACGAGGCAGACATTCTGAGGTTTTGCAGGGATGGAGAGTCCAAGATCAAGGCCAGGTTCGAAACAGGGTCTCTCGACGTTGCAGAAACTGTTGCGAAATATGCAGCTGGTGAGTCGTTCACTGATCGAGCTATATCGATGTTCCTGTTCCGTGCTAACGACCGTGGTGAAACGAACGCAGGTATGTTTCTCTTTGCAAGATTGGTCATGTCCAATCTACGGACACAAATCTCGCAGTACCGGTTCGAACAAGAGATGAAATGGGTGACGGAAGGGACTGTCGTTGACAAGATCACCGAAAAGCTGGAATTGGCGTAAGGGCACCCCCGGGATTCCGTTCCATAGGAGACGACAGTACTGACACCCAGATATGCATACAGCTACGGTCGAATCATTACCAGAGTCATCACAGAAGCCGAGGAAGCTGAGCGGGAGGGCGCCTTGCAACTCCTTGGCATAATGGTCTCGGCACAACGCGATCTGGCATGGCACGAGATTCAGGGACTGCTCGCGGTTGATTTGGCAAGTCGACTGATTGATGTCAAAAGGCACATGTCCGTTGACTCCAAGGATCTGTGCGGGTCTCTGGTAGAGGTGCGGTCTGGCCAGACAGTCACACTAGTTCACACATCGGCCGAACAGTAGGTGTTCACATCTCACCCCACCAAGTTATTGTATCAGAGCCTCAAGTTCTGAACGCTGACGTGTTTGTTCCCCTTCTACAGCTACCTTGTCAAGCGTGGAATCGTCAATGTCGGTCGGCAACACGTTAACATGGCGAGGATTTGTCTCGGCTACCTGAGCATGGCTCCGTTCGACCCGGCCCTCACGACGAATGAGATCTATGATCTGCTCAAAGCCGGCCATTACGCATTTGCATTCTATGCGTTGGCCCATTGGCTGGATCACCTCGAAAAGGCTGCAGAATCGCTTCAGCATGCCAAGAAGCCGGAAGATCTCCAAATGGAACCGCTCTTGGAGGAGATTGAGCATTTCCTAGAAAACAACTACCAGAGTCCCATTGAGACGTCGGCCGAGGAAAAATCTCAGGTGGGGAGGTTTGAGCCTTTCGAGGTCTTCGGCGAGTCGGGCCACATGGAGTCTTTGACCCAAGCTCGCCATACTTGGCTCGAGTTCACCGGACGCGACGAGCCGGCTGAAGTAGGTCCGGATAGAGACAACGCGCTGCCCCTGGAGTCTTGTGTCGGTCGAGTCTTGACGTGCTTGGACTCGCTCGTCTGCGAAGCTCCTACCACCGCCACCGCCACCGTCGAGAGCCTCCGAAGATTCCACGGACCGCGGCTCTTCAAATGCTCAGTGGTCCGTTGCCGCTATTTCCATGATGGATTTGAAGCTCGGCGAGATCGTGACTCCCACCAAAGCCGCCACAGATTTCGATTCTGCTGCCACATCGACGGTTGTCCAAAAGCTTCTTTTGGTTTCAGCAGCGAGTATTTACTGGAGAGACACCTCAGTCAGGATCATCACGACCTTCAGGGCTATACCAGCGACGAGCCCGTCACGTTTCCTGTTTTGAAAATGCCAGATGATGTTAATATTCACGCAGCGCTAAGTCGGCGAGACCTCGAATCAGTGGAGGCATGGGTCAATAGCTTTGAAGGCTATATACCGATCCACCAGGATCGCCGAAGTAGCACGGCAAAATCCGTGGGCAGGGGTTCCACGCTTTATCGCGCATTCAACACCATGGACTTGGCTATCATTAAGCTTTTCCTGGGCAAGATCGAAAATCCTGTTTCGCTCCACCCGGCGCTTTTGCGTGTTGTGATATGGGCGAAGGGAAATATCAATTTTTTGGAAGGTATTCTGAAGCTTCCCGTGCGAATAGAGAACGCAGAGAACTTCAGCTCTATTTTCAAGGGTCGCACCCGAAAGACGAAGTTCGGTGAAGAACAAATTCTTCTACTCCTCAAGCATTTCAGTGGGGTTGAGGGAATATTCGCTCCGGTTAGGGCAACAAGCATCCTTCATTTGGTGGCGTCGCAGGGGGGGGTTGCGTGTGTGCGCTATCTAGTAGAGGAGTGCGGTCTTGACGCGAACCTTGTCCATGGAGACCAAACTCCGCTGATGGCTGCTGCTGAGATGGGTCGGATCGGTGTTGTCGATTTCCTGCTGAACTGCGGGCACAGCACCAGAGAGCATATCGATATCCTAATCAAAGGAAAATATGCCGGACTTCTAGCAGCAGCAAATAGCCACGACGCAGTCATTCGAACGCTCTATCCCACGACGATGCAAGCCTCCGAGTGTGCGCGATTGCTGGCAATAAGCCGGTTTCGAAAGGCGGCCATGGCAGGAGACGTGAACACCATAGATCGCATGGCGCGTGAGGGGTTTGTTGATATTGACATTCCCGATATTGATGGCGTGCCTCCGATAAGATATGCCGCTCATAATTATCATGAAGCGGTTGTTCTTTCGATGCTATCTTCGTGGAGCAACACGATCCATTTCAGTCGGTGGTGCTGGATCAAGCATCCTATCATTTCAGCAGATGATGTGGGAGGTTTTTTATTTGGCATTGCGACTATCAAAGGAAACGCCGAAATAGTCAGACGGCTCATAAGTCCCCCAATATCTTTGCCGAAACACAGTACGTTTCTTTACAAGGAGCCTATTCCGGGATATATGCATCGAACTGCATTGTCTCTCGCTAAGGAATTGGGGCATGATGAGATTGTAAATCTTCTCGAGTAGTGGAAAACCACACAAGACACCCAGATTACGACTATTCTATACCATTGCCGTGCCGCCGTTGAGAGTACCCGATCGACTGTAGTCCAAGCGCACCTTCAATTCCTTCGGGACACATCTTGTTAGTTGCCACCATAATGAGACATACGGACCTAGAAGTAGAGATATAGAAAGACACATACCTCCAAGTCTGCAAGCTTTTGCCGGTGTTCTTCTTCTCTACTATCCCAACCTAGGGTAGCAAGCTCTAGCTTTTGCTCCTGTCGCCGACGCACATACTGCACAACATACCACGAAGGTATTAACAAGTCGTCCAAGAGCATCCCGAGAAAGCGCCATGGGCTTACCTCTTCGATCGTTCCAGCTATGATATATCGCACCACGACAACGTCTTTGGTTTGGCCCAATCGTATGGCACGGCCAATGGCTTGCTTTTCTACTGATGGGTTCCAGTGCGGCTCCACGACGTGGACGCGTGAGGCGCATTCAATATTGAGCCTTGTCATACGAGGAAGAACTGTCAGATCTGGGGGTTTTTGTTTTTTTTCTTTTCGCCGGACCTAATCTCCAAAATGCCATCTACAGGGACCGAAAGACTTGAGCTTTTGCTTACCCAACAGCACCCGTTCCAAACGTTACCAGCAACGTTGAAATTTCCGGATCCGAATGGAATCTCTGCAACATTGCCTGTCGATCCGGAGGGCGGACGGTCCCGTCGATACAGAGAAATCGAATCCCGGCGCGATTGAACAGTATCGAGATCAATGACAGCGTTCTCGTCCAGGACGTGAATACGATACTAACACCGATTGTAAGCATCGCGACGGGGACTTTGTTTTTGGGGGAGAAAAAAAAAAAAGGGGGGGGGGGGGGGGGGGATTGGTTGGTACCTCTTTGCAGAGCCCTGATGTTTGAGGATATCCTCCAGCAGACAATTCAGCTTTGTCGAACTTCCGTCGGGCGGTATGGATTGGTCTTCATTCACATTCTGAGAGTCCTCTGAATTGGGGCATAGAAGACAGCACATGAGAGAAGTCTCTCGTTGTTTTGAGTCCTCATCAAGATGTTGAAGGCAATCGTGGCAAACATGATGCCCACAAGAAAGCCGAAACCCCGTTGTGTTAGGTTCGCCATCAAAAGTCATAACGGGACTTTCACAGGCGGCGCAGATTTGCTCAGCGTGAGCACCATCCGCCTCGGCATCCAGGCACCTGACAGTCCCGCTTTCGAGACTGCTGCTGCTGCAAAGAGGCCGATCGAAAGTACCATGATTGCAGAGGCGACGAAGTCTCATAATCGCGCGGAGGATAACTGAGTACATTTGGAGGCTTTCCTTACCACACAGAACTCTGTCGGCAAGTTCTCTGGCCTCCCGTCCAGCATCCTTGTGCAATTCCTTCTCCTCGTCTGACAATTCCAGGCGGTGTACGATCTCGGTGGGTTCTTGAAGACCCACTTGGTTTTTCGCTCGGCGTAGGCAGATCGATCCGAGAAGGAGACGAAGGTTCCTGATACCAATGGGATGACTGTCCATTACTGGCTTGGTAATGTTGTTTCGGAACGTGCTCTTCTTCGACAACACGGGAATCTGGAGGAAGTTTACCAGGGCTTGAAGATCGCGGAGTCCATTCTGAATCGGGGTCCCGGTCAAACACCACCTGAACTTGGCCGCGAGGCTAGCAGTTGCTTTGAATTGTTGGGTGGCCTCGTGGCGTATGGAATGTGCTAAGAGAGGAACCGTTGTTAATATTTCTGCTGTTTCCTAATCAAAACTCTCCCCAGCAAACGTAACATACCTTCATCCAGGACAATTCGAAACCATGTTGCCGAATGGAGCAGTCCCGAGCCGTTCCGATATTCGGATGCCAGAGTTGAAAACGTTGTCAGGACTATATCGTGCTTCACAAGATCGTGAATGGCTTTTGTTTTGGTTGCCCCATGGTACATGTGATAGTTGAACTGCGTAGACAGCGTATGACTTGCAAAGACGTTAGATTCATGCCAGAGATACGAAAGGACGGCAAAGGTCAAACACGGACTTTTTGATATCTGTGAGCCACTCGTTGAGAACAACTATCCCGCTGAATGTCAGTTTTGGGCTTCGGCCGGGCGGTTAGATCAAGATTGAAGATGGTACTTCTTACGGACTGATGGTGCCAGAACTAGAGTGCCTTTCGTCGCAGGCTTTCCAGGAGAAGGGTGAGTCGAAGCGAACAATCGCGATTCAGGTAGACTCTCCAGAATCACGGCAAGCGTTGTCAGAGTCTTTCCGAGACCCATTTCATCCGCAAGGATGCCGCCCACAGTCTCCACCACTGGACTTGCTTTCCGAGTACCGGTGATGGCGTGCTCAAAGCTGTGGTTCTATGTGTTAGCTCTACGATGTCTCGAGACGCTATGACATGGCAAGGTCTTTCGGGGGTTGACATGCCAGTGTCTTCCGTTGACAACTGCGCCATTCCAAAGAACCGGCAAAGATAGTGGTTTACGGCTCTCTCTCTGAGCAAAGAAGCTCACTGCAGACATTTGATGCCTATTTTATAATGATTAGCAATCTTGAGGTCTCGAAGTCGAGCGAATCCTTATACCGTTTCAACTTTGTCAATATCAGATCGACAGGCGCCGGCACCTCCAACTCCGACTCATGGCCCAGGCCGTTCAAGAGAACTTCTAGGTCCAAGCCAGCTCGACTTTTCTGGATAGTTTTGGTCGAGATTTTTCCGTCCAAATCTCCGTCCAAGAAGCGTATGATATGTGGGTTATCATACTCAGATACGGAATTGTGGCATGGCTTCTGAAGATACAGCCGACTGCGGGAGAGAATATCGCCGACCGTCTTGCTTTCTTCTCTTACCCCATAGAGGACAATATTGACATGAAAAGTGGTGTCTCTTTTGCTCTTCTTGCTTGATTTGGGTAGTCTACCTACTTTCCGAAGGTTTCCCATGTCAATAAGCAGCTCGACCTTAGTGGTAGCCCTCTTCCGGATTTCAATGAGAGGATCGGATACGGCGCTCTCCAAGACGGCGAGATCTTTCCCCATATACTGAACGGATATGTGAGTTTTACGATAATCAGCTGTGAGGACCTCGTAGGGCTCGGAGGGCGAGGCTACTGCCAAAGAACACAACATGTTGGAGGCGCCGCTGGCGTCGTCAAGCAGCTTTATCCTCGCATTATGGATCTGACGCTTGGATGTCATTATGAGGGATTCAACAGTGTACACATATAATAACAACTTACCATTCCAAAGCAGACATTCGGGATTTTCTCATCTTCAGCCGAAGTGTCACTTTTGGGGGCGGACAGAGACCAGTCACGGCTCTCGTTTTCCTGAGCGGACTCCGGCGTCGAAATGGATTGTCCCGTCATTTTATCGTAGCCCATATCTGGCCGTCCCTTTTGATCGTCCCGAGAGACCGTAACTTGATGATGGCTACTGTGGCCACCAAGGGATGGCTCAAAGGGCGGAAGAGCTACTGGTACCGAGGGAGCGTCCAGCATGAACACGTCTCCATTGGTAGCATCTTCGGCACATTGAAGGTGAGAAGCTGACTGCGGGTTCCAATCTTGTTCGTCGAGGAACCATGTATTGGCCGCTGCCGGAGTCGGTTGCCCAGAGTCAGGAAACGTCCAGTCGCTGATCCCGTAGTTGATCGTCCCAATGCAGTTGGGTATGCCCAAGTTGGTTGTCGAAAGTGAGCTTTCAGGTGAAAAGAAGCCGTCAGGTGCATTGTTGGCAAGGTTCGAAAAGTCAGAGTCTATCGGATTATCATCCCAGGCAGGCCAGACACTTGATAGCTGCTCAGAAGCAAGATTGAAACTCTCATTGAAGGTCCCCGGACATGTACCAAGCTCTGTTGTAGCCTGATCCTGAGTACCCACGGAAAGCCTGGTCCTTTTCAATGGGGGCTGCCCGGTTACGTCGTGATCCATGGTCTCGTATAAGTAAGACCAGAAAAGGTCTATCAAGGCCGCTCTTCTCTGATCCGAGTTCAAGTCCCGTGAGCCGTCAAAGATGGGAAGACGCCGTGAGTTTTTGAATGAAGTAGGAAAATTGAAGAGCACAAACGGGAATTTTTACACTTCCACTTGGGCCGTACGACCCAGACCAGGCTACCAATACCAATGCCCGCTGGGGGGTGGTGGCGCAGCCAACCCCGAAAAAAGAGGCATCTGCATTCAGGCACAGAGTGAGCCAATAGCTTCTATTTTCTGGGGTCCTGCTCAAATTCATTGCGCTGGCATCGATGTAGCTAAGCCTCGGCACGTTGACCCAAGTAGTACGTGAAAGACACGACTTTTTGGGGGGACCTTTCGTTCCAACTTATTTCCTGCGAGGCAAGCTTCTAGTTAGGCAATGGCCTTGCCGCTGAAGCGGGCAGCGCGTGGAGCGGCTACGGATACATCTGTTGTGTGCGGTGTATGCAGTGAATGGTCAGGCCAAACGCTACGAGGTCTTACAGAAATTGCACGACTTGAGACGTAACTGGAGATTCCGGCCCATCCCAGCTCCATCGAGAACGGCAACGTGTTTGTGACGAGAGGTTCGGTTCAGAACCTCCAGGATGGCCTACTGCGGCTCGGCTTCTAGAAGATGAATCGTGTAAGATTATGGTGAGTTTCTACGGCGTCGCTTCGAGGGCTGAGGCTCCACGAGGGGCATCGCGGGGATATCAAAGACCACAAAAGGCAGCCTTTTGGACAAGCTACGGAGATATCGTTTCGATCCTAGAGGGAGGATTACGAGAACGAGCACTAGAATCATATCCCTCAAACGGCCGATAACGGCCCGTGAAGCTTGGCCGTGAACAAGCCCCCGAGAGGTGTATCCAAGTTCAACTTCACCATGCCGGTCGATCACGAGCGCTTTGGACATAGGAATAGCTAGGCCAAATGGGTTGCTAGCGGACTTTGTTCCAGATTCCTTTGGGGAAGCATCATCGTGTATTGGGACTTCGCCTTAGAGGGGAAGACATATTTGAGGCTCTATTTACGAGGCAGAGACATGGTCGGGGACTGCTAGGCGTAGAGGATAGGTTCCCTCCTTCCCGAGGACTGAGCCGTTATTCTATATCGGAGGATGACCTTCAGTTACCTGGAGTCGGTGCAACTATGGTGTGTAGAGAGTTCCTGTATAATGGTTGATGGTAGGGCGTTGAACGACGAGATTATGCCCTTCCCGCTTCCGACTCTCTCTGTTCGCCATGGCCACGGGCTATTCAAGACATTTGCTCAGGATAGTGTCGGTCTGAGAGAAAGAGCCTGGGAAGTCCGGGTTGGGAAGCGGCCAATGTCTACTTCCCACTCGACGAGAACCTAGTATCCTCTCCATTAAACTGGCTCGCTCTAAGTTCGAGCTCAAGATCGAGGAGTAGGGTGACCTAAATGTAAACTCTATAGATGATCTATAGTGCTACGACGTCTGGGGTCTTAAGACGTATATAGGGTGAGGGGGAGTATCAGGAAGACCCCGAGCCTCATAGACTTATCTGGGGAGAGGGAAGGATATGCCACGATAGGAGATATGCATGCCCAATCCCATTTCTTCCAAAGGGAATTTCTGCAGTTCCTTCAAGCCGTTGCAAAATGCATCACTGATGTCAATCCTTTCCATTCGGCTCCGTGAAACCCCCGGGCCTCTCCAGATTGAAATCTACCAATTTAAGAAACTATCCCAAAAGTATAACGAGACGAGGTAGCCCTGATCCCCTTTCTCCAACCCTCTCCTTACCCAAAATGAAGATCGATGTTACCGAGAATACGGAAAGGGCCTGCCTTCCACTTGTCCTCCCGACAAAATCATCACTTCACTTCAACCCTCTAAACCATCTCCCAATCCTCAGACAACCTCCTCTTCCCATTCCCCCCTTTCCCCGCTTGCCCTCCGGCCCTCTCCCTCCCCGCAGCAGAAACGCAAACCCACTCCAGCGCCCCCTCTCGCTCTAGAAGCCTCCTCACCCTCGACTCCACGATATCGCCAACATCATCAACCACCCTCTCCATAACCCTCGCAACCATCTTCTCGATGAGCACCTCGCGCTCCTCGGCGGCGGGATCGGCCCGGAAGAGCTTATCCTCCGGATCGAGGTCAGTCATCAATCTCACGACGCTTTCTCGGAGCGCTGCCTCTGTGAGTGCGGGCCCAGAAAGCTGGGCGGTGCTGAGGCAACCTTGTCCGGCAAGGCTCTTCTCTGACGAGGAGGACGCAGGGGTTTTCTTCGAGGATGTACGGCTGGCGGGCTTGCTCTTGCGCAGAGCCCGAGCCCTTTCGGTTCCGGGTTGCGAGCCCGATGCCTGAGATCGAAACTTATCCGGGGAAGATGTCGGGGTAGGCATTTTCGAGTCCGAGCTGCTTCTCTCTTCTTCTTCTTCAAGTCCTTCCCGCGGGTCGGATTTGGAGTATTCGAGAGAAGGGACGGAGTCCTCGCCGCGGTAGAGTGATGCGAAGGCAATCTCGTGCGCAGACATACCGCTGAATAGGCCAAACATAATCAGCCCCAAGGACGACGACAAAAAGGGGTTTCTAAGATGATTCGTTTATCACGCTCGCCGGGTTTGCACGCTCGCCACTCGTTTTCGCTCCCGTATCGGCAGAACGCTAGCTTGAATCCTACCAAGATTTCAAAATCACAGCCAGTGTAAGTTCTCTATAGGTTTTAGTTGATCGTCTCTCCTGTCTGATTTACAAAGAGTTGAGTTCGTTTCTTGATTCACTCGTTTTCGGCGAGCACTTGCTACTTTAATAGCCTCCATCCCGTTGCTCTCTTGGGATCACAATCCCATCCAGAGTCAGATATGCCCATGGAAGAGAAGAACTCGATGACCTAGGAGTCACGGCCAGTCTACGAAACTGAATGACTCGCAAACTTCCTCTCAGTGAAGATGAATGATTAATTGGCAGAAATGTCTGAGTCTGGGGGAGTGCCTCATATTTCGAGTTCCAGAACACGCCAACCAATCCAAACCTCAAACCCAAACACGAACCTAAATCCACGTCCAAACCCTCAACTGCGCCCCGATTCTTCCGTCGCTTCCGCACCTCCCAAACATCCCCATCAATCATCAATCTTTCCTAGATCATTCTCATAACAAAATTGACTGATGTTACGCATCTCCTCAATCATCAATTCCCCAGGCACGGCATAGCACAGCACATCTGAAACCAAAAATACTCCCCTTTCACAAAGTAAAATGCTTGCTCATTTTAGAATAACCTTGACCCCCGTCGTTCCTGTGCCTAGCGTACGTCATGGAAGCAGAAAATATGCCATCCATGGATTCCACTCCATCCGTCCGCCCGTCCGCTATTCCGCCTGCAGGCATGGCAAGGATCGGTGACGACGTGGCGTCCCTGCATAAAGAAGAAAAGTTGGGCTTCTTTTCCCTTTCCTTTGTCCCCACCTGCTGTGCTTGCTGCCGACGGCGGCAAGTCTTCTTTAACTACATTTGTTCCCTCAACTCGAAGGAAGGGCGCAAGGAAAAATTTTTTCTCGAATAAGGCGGCTCTGAAAAGGAACAAAACTCCGAGACCGTTTGTTTGTTTTACTCATACATTTGTCCGAAACCGGGCCGAAACGGCATGTGTTGTTTCTTGCTCCATCATGGGGAACGGGGATTCAGTCACAGTCGTCGTCACATAGTCACAGGTACAAGCACAAACAAAACGGACCCGGATTACAGTCTAACACCGAGGACCGAGCTGAAAAAAGCAAAAAGATCAAAGCTCTGGTAGCAGCAGGATGGACCTCCGCGGTCAAGGCTCTATCTAGTGTTGCACGCGGTTGGAGAAGCGGGCGGAAGCAAATTGAGGAAGATGGAAGAAAATATTGAAAATATAAGTGCCTTGGCACGCAAAGCGCTGGCATTGCGCGGAACCAGACTAGCTGGGAGCTGGGGGAAGCTTCACGGCTGGGATGTTGTTTCCGGCGCTCGGAGCCGAGACCCTGCTTTTCGGCCGGTCGCGTTGGAGATTCACGACGCTAGTCTGTGGGAGTCTCCCTCATCTTCGGATCTAACTGTCCTCTTCCGAATCATAGGGCGCGGGGGAAATGAGAGGGGGGATACAAGCGAGTCATATGAAGCAATGGACAGTTTCAAGGCTGGATGCTTGTTGCCTGGAAGACAAAAAGGAGAACCAACGTAGAGCGGCACTAGAATCGGGATAGTTTTCTAAATCGGCGACCAGCTCATGAGCCATATGTTTGAGAGTTTGAAACAAGAGAAATGAGAAGAAACCATCGCTGGCTAGTCTCTGCGAAATCAGAAAGCCAGATTGATGTTCATCAATCGGTGGTGCTGTTTGGTGTCGTGTACTCCGTAGTCAGGACTACAAGTGGCGTTTGCCGAGAAGAAAAGAAGAGGCCAGAATTGAGAAGGAAACAAGAAAAATAAAGAGAAAATACGACTCGTCTTCTGGTTTGTCCTGGTGATTCATTGCATCTTGCCCACCACCACTTAACACTTCGTATCCGGATCGTCACGATGCTTCCGCGACAAAACAAAAATCAATCTAGACGTGTAGCAGTGTACATCAGTCATTTTACCCATCATTTACCATTTACAGCTGGGAGAACGTCATTCCCATGCCATCCCACGAGAATCCCCGGATCTGCCAAAACCCCAGGTCGAAGGGTCGTCAAAGGGTCCGGGTTCCTCCGGCACAACATACGTTGTCAAGAAAATGGGCCAGAAAAAAAAAGAGAGAGAGAGAAAAGAAAAAGAAAAAGAAAACGGTGCACGTGGTTTGCTCCCGAAAATAGCTGCGTCTATTCTTGCCTTCCTCTTTTGCTTCTTTTTCGTTTCCTTCGTGCCAAAATGCATGCAGGGTCCTTCACCTTGACTCCCTGGGGTCACTCGGTTTTCCCCAACGAGAACAGGGCTCGGGAAGACCCCTTGTAACCCGAGAAGCTGAATCGGCAGTTTTTTGCTTCTCC